TTCATGATATGGGAAACTAAATCGAAGTCAGAGGTTGATGGATATGGAATCAAGCAAATCTGTTTGTCTAGTAGATCCAATTATGAATGCTTGACAGGTCAGTGTCTACTATTGAGGGTTTGACACTAAGAAGCAGGACTCCCAGTTGGTAAATTTCTTTCGTTGTGTATTAATCCTCACTTGAGGATATTTTATCCATTGATTTTTAGAGAGAGTAGAAGAGAGAGACAGACAGACAGACAGACAGACAGTGACTGGTTGCCTCCTGCATGTGCCCCGACCTGGGCCAGGGATCAAATGTGCAGCCCTGGTATGTGCCCTTGACCAGGAATCCAACCTACAGCCCTCTAACCCAGTGGTTCTCAACCTTCCTAATGCTGCGACCCTTTAATACAGTTCCTCATGTTGTGGTGACCCCCAATCATAAAATTATTTTTGTTGCTACTTCATAGCTGTAATTTTGCTACTGTTATGAATCGTAATATAAATATCTGATATGCAGGATGTATTTTCATTGTTACAAATTGAACATAATTAAAGCATAGTGATTAATCACAAAAACAATATATAATTATATATGTGTTTTCTGATGGTCTTAGGCTACCCCTGTGAAAGGGTTGTTTGACCCCCAAAAGGGTCGTGACCCACAGGTTGAGAACTGCTCTAACCACTTAGCACACTGGCTAGGGAAAGGTAAATTTCTTAATATAAAAAAATCATGAAGTTAAAAATTAAGTTTAATGCTATATTAGGTATTTGTTAGGTAGACTAATAAAATTTCATTGAAATAGAACTCTCTGAGAAAATGTGATTTTTGGTAGTAGTCATTGTAAGCACAGGAACCTCCCTCATCAGGGACCAGAATATATAGGACCATGTCTTTCTTAGATACTTATGGTTACACAACAATAAAGTTTTTGTTGAGTTTCTCTCTCTCCGTCTTTTTTCGGTGTGCCCAGATTATCCTTGTTTTTATCTTGAGGAGGCAGCAGAAGTCATGCTCAGACACCGATTTTGTCTTTGCCAACAATTTATTTAGAACACTTTGCTGTAGGAATTATAATTTATAACAAGCCAATAGCACACAGGACAGTATCTCTTAATAAGTCAAATAAAGAAATAACATACTCCCAACAAATGACAGATTAATCACATTATTGTTCCAGGCAAGGGGAAGTGAAAAGGATAAAACCCAAATTTAATATGAGATGTACCTTTTTATAACAGGTGTCACCTTAAGAGTTTCTCACCAATCAAGTGCTGATTTCCAGTTGCCAGTGCAAATGTCCCCTGTTGCTAGAACTTGTTGCTAGGGAACAAAGATGACAGTGTATTGGTAGGTGGGCTGATCTTTATCAAGGGGCCACTTAGTGGTTAATACCACTGCCTGAAGGGTCTTCAGAGAATTTTTAGGTTAAGTAGAAGTCACCTCCCCTAAACCAAAACTCTCAAATAGTCCTCGCAAACACTTAGTATTTATATTCTGAGTACGCCCTTGCCATAGTTGTTTTACTACACATTTGTATCAGTAAGCCCCCAGTGTGGCCCCTCAGCAGCTGGGCTGCTGGTTGCTTATCAACAATAGATGTATAATGATGATATCCTGGCAGGACATCATACTTATTTAAAAGCAACTTTTAGCTCAACCAGCATGGCTTAGTGGTTGAGCATCCACCTATGAACCAGGAGGTTATGGTTTGATTCCCAGTCAGGGCACATGCTCAGGTTGCCGAGCTCCATCCCCAGTGGGGGCATGCAGGAGGCAGCCAATCAGTGATTCTCTCTCATCATTAATGTTTCTATCTCTCTCTCCCTATATCAGGGGTGGGCAACCCCTGGCATGCGTGCCAAACATGGCACACCAGTAACTTTTGCGGGCACGCGAAGCCCTCTCTTATAATCTTCCATTTACAATTTTTTTCTTAATATCGACTTCTTTATTTTTCAGATAAATTCAGTGTAGGTGCATCTTAGATAAATAAATAATTTTACATAACAAGTTATCTTAAAGTCCATAGACATGGATTGACGAGAGAGGGGAAGAGCAATTTCAATAGTGTCGAAAACAAACTATTGAGGACTTGGAATGCCATTCCAGAAAATTTTTTCTGTTTAAAAAACTTTGCAACAGGATTACTCTCCATGTTTTCATCCACATATGCTTGTGAATCTTTGTTCTCAGTGATGAATTTTGTTAAGTCTCATAATAGGAGTAGACTGACGGATGAAAGTAGTAGCTCGTGCATATCTCTGAAGGTCACGAAATATAAACCTGATGTAAAATCTCTGTCATCAGTGATGCAGCAGCAAAAGTCCCACTGATAATATCAAACGAAGTCATAAAGTTTTCTGTTGGACTATCAGTGTACATGTTGCCTCCTGTATGTGCCCCAATTGAACCCTCAACCTAGGTATGTGCCCTGACTGGGAATCGAACCCACAACCTTTTGATGTACAGGATGATGCTCCAACAAACAGCCACCCGGCCAGGGTGAACCCAGAACTTCACTGAAGTTCTCATTTTGGATATAAACAATCATTTCTATTTGGAATCCTAAATAAATCCTGACAAGTGATCTGAGGGGTCATAATGTGTCAGTTATTTTATAAGTAATAGGGATAAAATTTTATAGATACAATCACATTGTCACAACTCTATTTTCTGAAGGGCAGTTTGATAGGGTGTCAGTGAACTGCAAGAAAAAATAGCACCCAAAGTTATCAAGTGTCCCTGAGAGTCAATCTGAAAGGAAGTTGGTTATTGGAATCACAGTTATTTATTTGCCTCCTATAGAGGGTGTCTTCATTAAGTATACAGAGGACAGGTAATCCAGTTCAGTACACTTTAGTATACATTTATTGTCTGTGTTCTAAAGTGCATATGGTGGGAGGGATGCCATTTGGGACACTCAGAAGAGCTGGCTATCATGGAGGGTCTCTGAAGTACTTACTTCCTGGGACAACTGGTTTGTTTTATTTTTTGTAGAATTTAAGATCCTGCTTCTCTGGGACTTCAGAAAGCCTCTGTCGGACACCTGAAGTGAACTTCTGCTGCAGGAATTCTATCTGATCGTGTGTGAGCAATAAGGCTGTCACCTTCCCCAGGAGCATATTCAAATGCGAAAGAGCTGAGACACAGGCAGAAAACAAATAAATAAATGTTTGCGATGGAACAATAGTAATTGAAACTAGTGAAGTTCTCAAGGTAAGGCAGAGAGAAGAAAAATTGATGTACACTTCATGTCCAGAGAAATCATGGGACGCGTTGGAATTGACCCTGGTCTTGGAGCCGGAGATGCTGTTTGAGGATCAGCTCTGCCACTTACTCGTTTGGTGACTTAAGGAAAATCTTGTAACTTCCCAAGTCTTTGTTTTTTCATCTGTAAAGTGAGCACGCTCACTCTAGCTCACACAGTTCTTGTGCAGATCAAAGGAGGTAATGGGTATGAAAGTGTTTATAAACTTCAAGGTTAACATGGTAATCTCTCTCTTGTTTTTTTTAATGTTTTTAAATTGATTTTAGAGAGAGAGGGAGAAGGATAAAGAGAGGGAAACAGCGATGATGAGAGCGAATCTTTGATCAGTTGCCTACTGCATGCCCCCTGCCCCCCTCCCCCCCCCACCCCCCACTGGGGATTGAGCCGCAACCCATGCATGTGCTCTGACCAGGAATTGAACCTCTGACCTCTTAGGTCATGGGTCGATGCTCTCAATCACTGAGCCACACTAGCTAGGCAATGATAATCTCAATAAACAATGTGTCCGGGAGATGAGAAGGAAGGAGAATAACAGTGTTAAATCTGAGTGCTGTGTCTGATTTCCATGTCTGCTTATGAAAAATAAGCCTCTGTTTTCAACTAAAACATATACATTCATATACAGGGTGGGGCGAAGGTGGGTTTATGGTTATGAGTACAGGAAACACAGAGTTTATTCTTGTATTCTTATTTATTGTATTCTTTTCCATACAAAAATACTGTAAACCTACTTTTGCTGCACCCTATATATTTGAACATAAGCTTTAGAGGAATGTATAAGAATGACATGAGAACTCATAGGGATTCATAGCAATAAAAACTTTCTAAAAATAAATCTTTAATAATATATAGTAAAATAACTGCCTATGTGCCATGTATTTTATCACTTAATTTTATTATTTTAATAAAACTTTATAAGGTACATGATCTTGTAGAACTGAGGGATTTCATGGACCTTCATTGAGTATGCATGTGCAGTTTCACTGAAATTGTCTTATTAACACAGAAATGCACAAATGTCAGGAAAACTATGTTTTATTCATAAGTACTTTTCTTTTTTTGCTTAAAAATTCTGTTAGGATATACTCTTGAAAAATAATATTTGCTGGGAATATAATTCTATTCCAAGTTAGAAGCAATAATATAAAGTTAAAAACTTTAACAACAGCTAAGATGATGTTTAGTAATAAGGAAAGAACTTTAGGCTGTTTTTAAAAGATTAATTTGTTAATTAGGTGAACATCTGGGTTAGGTTCATCCCTTCCCTTGGAAACCTTGATTAATTTATGAGATTTTCATCCCCATTTACTAAAAAAGCAGTGAGTCATCCGGTGTCACACACCAATGACAGCAAAGTTAATTGGATTCTAGATCCTTTCACATTTTTCCCTTCAGCAATTCCTCGGTGCCTTGAGTGGAACCATGCGCTAAGAGAGTCTGTGTATTTTTGTGTGTGTGAGAGAGATACAGAAATGAGAGGAATTACAAGTGATTGAAAATGAGTTTGAAAAAAAGAGAAAAGAGTATGTGTTTGAATTTCCTTTGGCTTGTGGGAAGAAAGTCTGGAGGGACACACAAAGTAGCCAAAACCAAACCCCAAAACTAATAAAAACAACTATCTTGATGCATGCTCTTTATTTTATTTTTAAATATATTTTTTATTGATTTCAGAGAGGAAGAGAGAGGGAGAGAAAGAAACATTAATGAGGAGAGAGAAACATTGATTGGCTGCCTCCTGCCTGCCACACACTGGGGATCGATAGAGCTTGCAGTCTGGACACGTGCCCGGACTGGGCATTGAACCATGACCTCCTGGTTCATAGGGTGATGCTCAACCACTGAGCTACACCATCTGGGCTTGGTGCATGCTTTTTATAGGATTTTGATTTGTGAATCGTGACTTTATTTTTACCTACCCAAGAAAATGCTGCTTGAGATTGTCCACGGTTTAACGTGTTCCAGAGTTGGGTCTAGAAAGGGAACATGGAGAAACAGCAGGGGCTCTTTGTAGTCAGTGTCTGCCCTGGAAGTCTGGGGGGAGAGGATTCAGGATTGAGAAAGGAGGGGAGAGGTGGCTGGACCTGGGTTAGCGGGTGACTGGGAAGCCCACCAGCTCTCTCCTACCCGTTCAGTAGACTTGCAACCTTTGTCTGGCTCTGGTAATTACACATCACATTCGGCTTACACATGCACCTGTATACGCTGTGAGATCTCAGTGGTATAAACCATACTCAAAGGTGAAGGGGAATTCACCATCTATTTTATTAACATCACTTCTGCTTTTACTTTGCCTTTATAAACTCTCAATGTTCCTTCATCCTGTTTTCTTTGCTAACTTAATATCTTTGAGTGTATTTTATCTTGTTATATTATGCATTTATATGAGTTACCATAAATTCTTCCTGGAACTGGAATGATTATGAAGAGACAGTGCATAACTAATCTAGGAAAATGCTAACAGATTATTTCTGAGAGGTGAGATTACAAGTGATATTACATTATTGTTTCATCTTTATTGAGACATAATTGACATATAACATTGTGTAAGTTTAAGGTATAATGATTTGGTATATTTATATATTGTAAAATATTTACCACAATAAAGTTAGCACATTCATTACTTCACATAATTACAATTTTCTTTTGGTCACAAGAACATTTGAGATCTCTCTACTGGCCATTTTAATTGTCTTATGGTTGGCCTTCTGCATGTCTAAGTATACATATTTTTATAGTGCGCATGAATTCCTTTTCTAGTCAGATAAAATATTTTTTTACTAACGAGAATAAAATATTTGTGGTAGGACTGATAGGCTTCAGCAGAAATTATATAAGGGTGGTAGATAAAGCAGACTAGAAAGGGGTTGTGGAACTTAGTCTTAATTTTCTTTTTACCATGTGCTTCTATGAAAATATGGGAGGTACAGTGTAAATATAGTGGTTCACCTGAAATACTCTAAAAGAGAAATGCTATTCTTTTTACTTATTTCTTCTATAAAAAATAATAGGGCATAAGCACAGTTTAAAATCAGTTTAAATATAGACATATATCTTCTTTTTTTCAGTAATTGCAGTATGAACCATTGTATAGATATAGTATCATTCACACTATTTAAAAATCCCCTATAGTTGGATATTTGGGTTGTTTCTACCTTTATTTGGGTGAAATAAAATCCTAAAGGGTAGCTTGCCAGACCAGAGTGTTTGCAGCCAATGTAACTAAACACATTGAAGATATTTATCTTTCATCTTCAAGACCTACAAGACTTAGATGACTATTCTGTACCCAGCCCCTGGGCCTCACTGCACCCAGAACAGTTGGCTGTTGCCACCATATGCCTGCTTGTCTCTAGGCCCCAGACCACCTTCTTCTCACAGTCCCTGCAACCTGATTGTTGGTTATCTAGTGGTTTTACCTGGTACATTTCATCTAGGAATCTTGCCTAATGATGATTGTCACCTGAATCAGTTATTTCATTTGGGGTTTGTGGGATGATATCTAATTCTGCCAATTGGCTTCTGACTAATTTTTTAAATGCAGCAACATACAAGGAAGGAAACTTTCCCAGAATCAACCATTCAATAGAGTAAAAATGTCAAGCCTGAAAAAAGATAGATGTGAGAGAGCAAGATGGTTATTTTAGTAGTTCTCTGTAATTTACACTTAATTGCACATTGAGAAATAAGAAAAAAAATCTAATTCTACAATCTGGATTTATGTAAAAATTTTACTCTACAAGACAAAGAATCAAGGCCATAAAAAAGCAAAAAAAACCCAAAAAACCAACAGAATAATTTATTTGAATCCATCTTTTCTTGAACAAAATTGAAAAATGAGTCATTTCCTTCAACCTTTTATGTCTTTTCAAAAACACCATTGGTGATTGACAACCTAGGAAAAGGCACAGTCTTGCTTTTGTGACAACCATCATTGTTCTGTGGTACAAAGAGCAAGAAGGAAATTTGGGAATGAAATAAAAAAAATAAATATAGCAATCTTAACAGTTATGAGAATTTAATAAAACAAAGCCTGCTAAATTTTTTACAGCTATAAAGCTTCCACATTTGTAAGTTAGATGTGACTGTCAGTGATGATGATAGTGAAAGTATAGGTTAGAAGTAATTGTACTTTTTAGAGAAGCTGGACACGAAAAGGCCAGTTGGAAAGTCCCAGCTTTTTCTTCCTGTCCACGATAAATACTATCCGCGGAGGACCTTCACCTTTCCCAGCCACGTTCCACTGCAGCACAGTGCACGGTGCCTTCTGTGTATGCAGGGAAACCGGCAGTCCAAGTTCCATAAATGACTCTAGTCTGTGTTTAAAAGGATCAAGATGTATTGAGCTTCATTTCTTCACTGATTCCAGATGCATATACATTTCCACTGTTTTTCCTCAAAACATTCCTTCCTTATTTCACTCCAGTGCACTGCTTGCCTATGAGTGCTCACCTGGCAAAGAGATGTTAAAATATATGACATATTTTATAGATTTCTAGTTCTAAAGGTAGAAGGACCTTACATCCTTTCTTTCCATGGCTGCAAATAATGTGAGTGTTTGGAACTAGTTCAAGAAAATTACATTTATCAGCTAAAAAGTATAGAGTAAGTAATCATTAAATTCTGTAGATAATTTCTTTTTGAAACTAAAGGTTTCAAAGGCCCTACTTGAATGGCCTGTTTTTTTAAGATCCTAACAGCCAGTCTTGGGGTCAAAACAAACCGTGCCAAGGGCAATTAATGAGGTCAACAGACAGCATTTAAATAAATGCAGCCACAAGTTCAATGCACAAATAATTGGGCTGAGTACTAGAATATGGACACAGGTCAACCTACAAGTTTGTTAACCCCTGTCCAATTAGGTAATAAACACATGTAGTTATGAAAACAACACTGCTAGAATAGCCAAAGAACAAAACTTTTTGGCTGTCTTTCCTATTTCAGAAGCAACTGTCAGAAGTAAAAGAAAGTAAGTTAGGACTTTTTACCAAAGCTGGCACATTCACCTTGGGAACGAGGGGTGTGGGAGTTTCACTAACCACAGTAATACTACATTATTCATGAAATTGATCTTTGAATTTAATGGGACCTAGAGCAGAAAACCACAGGCAATCAGGAGAGAAAAATGGTCTCTGTATGTTTAGGCCATGTTTATTCTACCGAGGAATATTTATTCTACTAAGGATCACTAGTCCTTAGTTAAAATAAGCAAATAGGAACCCACTAAAGTATGAAATCCTTAAAAGACTGAGTCTCATTTAATCTCTATCCCTAGCACATAATTAACATCCTGGAAATGTTTGTGGATTGACTGTAAATAAAATAAGTGCAAAACAGTTTCTCATAGAATAAAAAGAAAATATTCTACCTGTTTATTTTTACAATGTAGAATAGTTCACATAAATCTCTATTGGAGGAAAATAGCACTGTGAAATATGTTGGCTCCCTCTAGGATCGGTTGGAAGAGAGACAGAGGAGGACAATTTTAGAAGAGATACTAGAGAGAAGGGAGACAGTCTTACAGAGAAAGAGAGGTAAAGAGAAGGGCAGAATCAGAGGGATATCAAAGGATGGGGGTGAAGGAAGAGAGGTGGTGGAAGACAAGGACACACAATGGGACGCAAGGACCCTGAGGGGGAGAGGTTGGTGAGAAGAGAGGCCTGGAGATGGGGGAGGGCACCAGGGCTGGGAGTGTAAGTTGGTGTTCCTGGGCGCCCTGTCCCTGGAGGAAGCACATCCTCAGTAGCAGTTTTGAATAGTCCTTTATGTGCTTGAAAAGAGCATTTCTCCCTTCGAAGCTTATTTCTGAAATAAAGTTTTCTATTTCCAAAAAGTTGTAAAGATATTGCTCATGTCTGAAAGCATTCTCATCCAAGAGGCTGATTTTTTATTTGGAGATTAGTTTTTTTCACATGCAAAACCAACCTCATCATTTTGTGTTCAGAAATTGCAGCTGCCATATTCCACAGTTTAAGATGAGCATTTATTTCATTATGGGGAGCCTTAAAAGTAAAAGACAAATCTCAAGCTTTCATTTGATTTGTTTGCATTCTAATTAGAACAATAGATATGCAGAACAAAGGACATGTAGAAAAACAAATGAATTTAAGTAGGATAAAATTTTTAATTGGATACAATTTGAAAATTAGGAAGCAAACTCTTAACATTCTTTCTATTTCTTATATTAAACAAAAGTATCTCTTAATTTTCTAATCCAGTTAGGTATATTTTTAGAGAGTTTTTTTTTTAATTGTCACGGAATAATATTCCACTCTTGCGTGTTATTAGATTAAAAACATGCTTTAACACAATTTTTAAACAAGAAGTTCCTAGCTGGATCAGGGTCTGCTCCTAAATTACTTGACTCCCTTTTCTCCATGCTCCCTGGGTCAAGAAGGAATGCACTGATGGGGTCCTTGGAGGTGCTCTTGCCACTTAGCCCATAAATGACCACATAGCTCCTGGGACTGGGTCTCCTCCCTGCACGCTGATTTCCCATGCATTCATCCACTGCTAGCTGTTATTTTTGGTATTTACCCAGAGGTGTGCATGAATTGCTTCACTAGAACTGTGTTGTTGTTTTTTGCCAGAGGGGAAGTTCCTGTGTGTGGTTATTGATGTTCTTTTCAAAGTCAATAAATGACAAATAAAGAAATGATGGAAGATGATTTGTGGCAGTTATGCCTGTAGGCAGCTGAAGCCCACAAAAAAAGGGAAGTTCATTTCATTATTTCAGAAGGCTGTAGGTTTAGCTTCTCCGAGGCTGGGAAGGTTGGGGACTCCTCAGTGTTACTCCTGCGGTTAACTGGGTAAGCAGTTTCCTGGCATCGCCCTCAGCGAAGGTTTTGTCCTCTCGGTGGGAGGCCAGTCCTCACTGTGGTCCTGTTCACTTGGGAGTAGCCTGCTTCCAGTCTGTAAGAGGTTGGGTATTTAGGGGCGACAGTGTTGAGCATTTTGTAGATTATTTGTGGTTGTTTTTCTGGTCCTATTTATAGTGACACATCATTGGTTCTAAAACCACCATAGTCAGTGGAAAATCATCAAGATAACCAAGGTGGCTTGAGTACTGGCCTAAGATCACTATCATACCCAGATGTGGATTTGTTGGGCGAAGTGCTGGATTCTAGATCTCCCTTTCCTCCACTGGCCCAAGTGCACGGCCCCAGAAGATAGTGTGTTTGCCTGTTTTGCTTCTTAAGATTATTTTCAGGTGGGGAACTATGTACAGCAGCTATAATTTCTCATTTTAATATTTTCTTCTGAGACTTACAACAAATTCTGGGGAAAGTGGGGGCTGAATGCAGAGTCCCTCCAAGGTAGCATTGCCAAAATCAGGTTCATACTTACTCTGGATGGTCTTGCTGTTGGGCAGGGATGTGCTGAATAACTTCATAAATTGTATTGTGCAAATCTTGCCCTGATACACCATCAGAGGCTGGAACAGACCTACTGGGCATCTAGAAAATGTAGCACATTAAAAAAAAATAGCAGACTAGTACACAGTCTTTCCACTATGCTGCAAAGTTGCGAACAGCTGCAAGTAGTGATGAATAGAGAATTATAACTGTTTCTCTTCCCTACATTACTCAATTCCTCCTTGCTATAGTTCCCTGCATATGCCCTATGGTATTTAGTGTAACAGCATAGCTATTAGGTCAGAAGAGGAATAGCTTGACAAAGCTATCATTTTTTTTTTTTATAATTTAAGACAAAAGTTGACAGTATTGTGAAGGAACTATAATAGAAAGAATGGCAAAAGAGAAGCTATCAGGACAGCTTAGAATTAGAGAGCGCATATTATTATCTATACAGTAAAAGACTAAGCGACCATTATGGTGGAACGACCAAAACGACTGGTCACTATGATGCGCACTGACCACCAGGGGGCAGACGCTCAACGCAGGAGCTGCCCCCTGGTGGTCAGTGCGCTCCCACAGGGAGAGCGCTGCTCAGCCAGAAACCGGACTCATGGCTGGTAAGCTCAGTGGCGGTGGTGGGAGCCTCTCCTGCTTAGTGGCAGCGCTAAGGAGCAGCAATCCAAGCTGTAAGGAGCAGCGAGCAGGCAGGCAGTAAGGAGCGAGAGATCCCCAGATTATGAGAGGGATGTCCTCCTGCCAGCTTAGCAGACATCCCCCGAGGGGTCCCGGATTGTGAGAGGGTGCAGGCCAGGTGAATATCATGCACCGGGCCTCTAGTCTTTTATATTACATCCTGATTAACTTTTTGCACCATTTATGTCTCCAAGGATGGTTGAAAAGAAAGATAAAAGCCCTCATCACATTGCAAGTTAGTAAAGCCAGTACCAAGAAATATAGAACACACAAAGGGAGATGTTTAATTTTGAATGTAGTAAGGGGCTCTATAGACTAAAAGGCTTGGGTGAATGTGGAAAGTATAGTAGTGAATTGCTGTCTAGTTAAAAACCAACATGTAGTTTATTGAAACTGGAATTCATAACTCCTATCCCTTGTATTTAATAATTAAATTTTGTAAACACTGCCTTCCAATTATAAAGTCTGGTTCCACTCCGTATCCCAAACTCCTCCTATTCTTCACATTTGTGATCACTTTCTGTCCTTTCTGTATCTCTACCTAGGACCCTTTTTACTTGATAAATCATCCGAAAGTTCTGTTTCTCATCCCAGCTTGGCTTGCTAGGTTATATTGGAACATCTTAGCTTTATGTTTTTCTGGAAACTGTCTGTTTCCATTCCACTTGCTAAAGCTGTTGTGGGCAGCCCTAGAATATGTGATTTGTCCTTTTTTTTTTTTTTTTTTTTTTTTGGTGTGTGTGTGTGTGAAGGAGATTTTTGGTTTACAGTTTGTACTTGAGATCCACTCTTGATTTTCTTTGGTACGGAGGCATTCAGGGCCCATGATAAAAGCAGTCTATAGATAATAACTAACTTAGCTAACCTAACATTAGCGCTGTTAACACATAATAAATTGGTTGATTTCATGCCATTGCTTCCTTTTCCACTTCTGAAAGAGGTGCTACAGGGACAGTGACATGTACAGCAAGTAGAGAGAGGATAGCATTCCATCTGCACACGTACCACAACCAGATAGGAGGCGATTCTGATTTTTTAAAAAAATGCAAAAAGTTAGTAATTCAATATATTTCCCTTCTTAGCTTCAATTTTCATATCTTGGTATTATTATTTCTCCTTTTCTTCTCCAAGATGTTGCATTTTGCTGCTAATCTTCACACACAATTGCCATTCTGGCTTCTCCTTCCTACATATGTTCTGGTCCTCACCCTCCTCCTCCTCCTCCTGTCGTTGTTGCTTTGATTTCTCACTTCTTCCCGAGGCACCTGGCACCAGTGAAGAACCTCATCTGATTCCTTAGGAGTTTCAGCTTTGAAGATGGGCATAGCTCCAATTAAAGTTATTCTACTTATGACAGAAATAACTGGGCTTCAGGTATGTAATGAAAGCACTCATTTGTCTCCTCAAGTTCTTGCCGATTGTAGCATTTACAGCAAATAGAAATCCTCCCAATAAAATCTTCAAACTGAATGCTGATTAATTACAAGGCTAAATGTTAAGTTTCTTACCTAGATCTCACTCTAATGAATCCCTAGGAATGCAAAGTGCCTGATTTAAAAGAAAGAACTCCTAACTTTGAAAATTCAGCTCCAAGTCTTATCAGCTCTTTAGTTTTCTGCTCTTCCACTTAAAGGCCACTCCTTTTGAAAGGGATACTTTCTGCCATGGTGGAAAGCTGTTTGAAATCACTGATCCACCAAATACTTATTTTTGCCTTTTTGGTTGTAGAAGTAAAGGGTGAGCCAATCCTGTCTGAGACTGACTAGGGTATTGCAGAGCTTTTGCTATGCAGTCCAGCCCTTCGTCTGCGATGATGTAGGCACTGGCACTACTCAGCCACCCTTAGGATGGAATCCAATCAGTCCCCCTCCATTACTCACATGGTGTTTGTGAAATAAAGTCTGTGGCCAGGAAACTGACTGGATGAACCTTATATTGATAGAATTCTCTGAACAAGTGAGGTAACTATCCCTAACAACAAATAGGTTTAAGCCACCCAGAAGCAAGTAGTCTGTTAATGCCCCCTTCTTTACGGGAACGATCATAGGAGAATAAGGAAGCTGAGAAAAGATTGATCCTACACAAATCTATACAGATGTCAATGAGCTGAATAGCTCAGAAACACATTCTGCATGCTGTGAAACAAAACTGATTGCTTCAAAAGACCTTGTCTTTGATGGCTGGACAAAAAAAAAGGCTTCAAGTGTGTAAAAGCTCCCCCTCTCACATTTCAGGCACCTTTAGGATAAAAATAAAGATGCGTACTTGCTTACTTTGGGTTTCTGTGATTCCTTTCTTATGAAGAGCATAAGGTACCTTTCAAGGGTATGATCAGTCGTCTTTGCAATGACCTCAAGGAATATGAGGGGAATGGGGAAGGGGAAGCTGAGGAGGGGAGAGAGAGTTGATGAAGTGACAGGTTGCAGTCCATGCAGTGGTGCGAAATTATTCAGCCAGGGATTCCTAATTGATTCTGTTCTCTTGACCTACCTAGTTAGTTCTCGCCAGTGGGCTTACCAGGCAAATAATGTTTATGGATCAGTGTCACTTCCTTTCTTGTGTCAGCCTTATGTATAAAGCCTAAGGAAGATGCTTAACTCCTCAGATCCAGCCACAGTGAGTCACACCGCTGCCAGGGGATGCAGCCATCTGACCTGCACTGCCCAGCGCTCAAAGGAGTGCGGCTGACACTTCTGCCGAAGCAGAATTCTACTTCTCAGCTAATCAGCCACTAGGGAAACCAACCCTGGGAACACCAGAAGCATCTGGGAAAGCAACAAATTCATATATTCCGAAGTCATCCAGAGCATCTTCATGGCCTGAAACGGAAAACAAATACTACTTAAAAACCAGATGCCTCAACTTGCTGCTGTTGTTTTTAAGCCCTTGTAAAACTTATCTTTATTGTTTGCTTCAAGTGGTATGTGTAAGCAACCAATTTCCCAATCCCTATAGTCGTATGGGTACTAAGCAGTGTTGGAAATCACTCCTGAAGCTGAGAATTGAAACTGAATTGGGACAAGTATTCTTAAAGCCTGACCTGGGAACAGCGTATTCTGTATTGGAATAAACACTCGTGGGCTGGCTTGTCCTTTGTAACTGTCGGTTACAGAGACTTACAGCCACCAAGGCTCAGTCTGGCAGTGGCCGCAGCTCTTCACCCACTCATAATATCTACTGCACCCCCTGGATCTAACAGAGACCACCAGGACTAATAAAATAAAGAAATAACCACAGCTGCCCAGACATACAAAATATAATACAGTATGATGTCAAGATCACTAAACTATCATCTGAAAAATGAGAGGAATGGGGTGGTGAGGAGGAACCAGGTGGTCTCTTTGGGGCCTTTCCTAAACCCAACATTCCATCATCTATGAGAAAGGACTAGATAAGAGGAGGAAGACCCGTGTTTACTAAGCATCTAGGCATCATATTAGGCATGCCACTCACATCATGCTATTTAATTCTCATAGCAACCCTGAGGGGAAGTTATTATCTTCATTCTATAGATGAGGAAGGTGAGGTCAGGAAAAATAATTTTCCCAAGATGACACTGGGGGAAAGTGGCATTTATGGGAGTAAAACCCAGCTCTGTGTGACTCCAAGTCCCATTGTGAACTTAGAACAGCTCAGTAGGGAGTCAGTAGTGATGGCCTGAGGAGCATGTTGGGAACAAAGCAGCAGCAAACCTTCCAGCCTCCCTTTCTCCTCCCTGGGATGGAGCCGCCAGCACTGTATCTGCCTTTGGAATTAACCAAGTGAGGGAACCCTGGGCAATTTTCAAAATAATAATAGGATCAATGGAAATGGATTCAGAACTCATGACAGTGGGCAAGTGACTTAATCTCTCTGAGCCTTGATTCTCCTGCCTGTAAAATGGAGTTGAGTGCCTTTCACTTTTAAGAGTGTTTGTCTTACAGACTTGTGCGACTTACATAAAATCAAGGCACTAGTCAAAGGTAAAGGATTGTTAGTATGACAACAGTATTAGCTTATGTGAATTCTGTTATTTCATTAGCACTTTATATATAATGATTCATATCAATACTATTCATTAATACACATTACATTGAGAATAACTCCTTTCAGCCTGGCCGTTACCTGAACATGTTCGTGCTTTTCTGTATACTGTTTCTGGCCTGAAAAGACAAATTGGCATTTCTGTCAGTCTTAACAACTGAGGAAAAAGCATTCAAGAAAAAAATTATTTTCATAGGAACAAATGCATTACCTGCCTTCTAGCTTCTGTTTTATAACTGAAACCAAGAGAGAAAAAACACAGTAAGAAACTTTTTTGTACCTGTATAAAGCCATTTAGAATGTTTTTCTAATTTTCACCTACCTTTGTAGGGTTGATATTTTTTCCATAAGAGAAGAAGACACATGGATATAATCAAAAAGAGTGATATTCCAGTTATACTTGCTAAAGGGGACAATGACTTCCCTTTTTGTGCAAGCTTCTCTAGTCCTAAATGAAAGGAAAATACAGTTTTAATGTTTTTTATTGAAGGTCAATACTGAGTTGCTATATAATTTGACTTGTAGAAGTTCATGCTTTATCTTAAATGAGACACTACTGAATAAATATATATATATATATGGATATGGATATGAATGAGAGATGAAATGAGAGGAACGCACTTATTTTAGAATATGCCATAAACACTCTGAGGACATTCGTGACTGGAAATGTGGTGAGCTGCCCATGATAATACTGGTAAGTTGTGCTACATATACCAAATAGCCCATGTCATACTTTTTTTTTATGTCACACTTTTCAGTAGCATTTGCCACCATGATCCCATTGTGTACAGCATCCCCAGATGCTAGGTTGTTCTCTCTCTCTCCTTCCATCACACTCTTTTTTAAAAAATATATTTTATTAATTTTTTACAGAGAGGAAGGGAGAGAGACAGAGAGTCAGAAACATCAATGAGAGAGAAACATTGATCAGCTGCCTCCTGCACACCTCCTACTGGGGATGTGCCCGCAACCAAGCTACATGCCCTTGACCGGAATCGAACCTGGGACCTTTCAGTCTGTAGGTCAACGCTCTATCCACTGAGCCAAACCAGTTAGGGCCATCTCACTCCTTCAGTATGATTTGGGTATGTGAATTTTCTAGGGAGGTGGTATCTGATTAAATGTGTGAAAGGGGAGGTGTTTATTTTCAAGGCACTTTACTAAATTTTGACCAATAAATAAATTTCATTCCTAAAATAGAATGTATGTATGATTTTTAAAAATATTTAAAATCCAAGTTTATGACTAAAATTCCCTTTTTTTGCAAGTCATTCCTTCCATTAACATCCTATATAAAATATAGTGCTAATAGTTAACATCTGCCTAGTGCTTACAATATGTCAGGCTCTGTTCTAAGAATACATGAAACATACTGAGCCACTGAATATTTATAATAATCTTATTAGGGGAATAGTATTATTATTATCCCCTCTTACAGACGAGGAAACTGAGGCTTCCCCAAGGTGACTCAGTAAGTGGCAGAGTCCAGAGGAGGTCCCAGGCTCTCGACACTTTGTGCTGTCTCACTTTGTTGTTATTTTAACACAACTTACTAACCTGGGTAATGTTAACATTAGTTCCAGACTATCAATATGGTTAGTCATAGAGTTCATCTATAAAGTGGTGAGTAGTTGTGACCTCCAACAAATGGGAGTAACATTTTATCAGGTGACTGAGAGATTGATATGGAAATGAGTCATAGAAGTTGCCTGTCTCTGTCCAGTTTAACGGGGAGGGAAAGTCATAGAATGTCATTTCTATTGCACAGGGTGCTAACAGCCTGGAGAATGTGCATGTGGCCACTTGGCTCAGCAATAAATATCCAGCCTGCACTCTCATCTTTCACCATAAAACCTCTGCTGAGCCCTAACCGGTTTGGCTCAGTGGATAGAGCGTCGGCCTGCGGACTGAAGGGTCCCAGGTTCGATTCCTTTCAAGGGCATGTACCTTGGTTGCAGGCATATCACCAGTAGGGGGTGTGCAGGAGGCAGCTGATCGATGTTTCTAACTCTCTATCCCTCTTCCTTCCTCTCTGTAAAAAATATATTAAAAAAACAAACAAAAAAAAACCCTCTGCTGAGGGCTGCAGCAGCCGAGACAAGGAGGAAACCTTAATCTTTCCCTTCTTTCACTGTGGAACTATATACACTCTTTTGGCTTTCCCCTTAAACACTTTCACTTTTCATCTTCCCAGAATCTTTTTATAATGTGGTATAGATCGCATATGTCAAACTCCAGTTAAAAAGTCATGGAAATTAGTCTGTCTTTTCTAATTTCCCATACTATGCTGTTCATGTATGCTCTTTAAGTCTTTAAGAGTTAAGCAGGTTATTTTTCATTATTAAAAGTCTTTACCATCTCAGATGAGAACTTTATAAATTGTTTTATGCATTCAGAGAATTGTGTTTTTAAAATGTTCTTTTTATGGGATGACAATACTTGTGTAACATTCTTGCCTTTAAACAGATTTTAATTAAACTCTTTTTAACTCTGGGTGGAAGAAATGAATGCAAGTGGTTTAGGTTACAGCATTGTCCTGATATGCCAAGGTTGCAGATTCAATCCCTGGTCAGGGCACATACAAGAACCAACCAATGAGTGCATAAGTAAATGAAACAACAAATCAGTGTCTCTCTCTCTCTCTTTCTCTCCCCTTTTCTCTCTTTAAAATCCATCAATAAATTTTTTTAAAAAAATGAACAGAATGGTAATTTATTGGTTTTAGATCGGTCAGTGGTTCTCAACCTTCCTAATGACGCGACCATTTAATACAGTTCCTCATGTTGTGGTGACCCCCAATTTCATTCTGACAAATTGAACATAATTAAAGCATAGTGATTAATCACAAAAACAATATGTAATTATATATGTGTTTTCCGATGGTCTTAGGTGACCCCTGTGAAAGGGTCGCGACCCACAGGTTGAGAAACACTGGTCTAGAACAGTGGTCGGCAAACTGCGGCTCGTGAGCCACATGCGGCTCTTTGGCCCCTTGAGTGTGGCTCTTCCACAAAATACCACGTGTGGGCGCGCACGTACAGTGCGATTGAAACTTCGTGGCCCATGCGTAGAAGTCGGTATTTTGTGGAAGAGCCACACTCAAGGGGCCAAAGAGCCGCATGTGGCTTGCGAGCTGCAATTTGCCGACCACTGAATATCACAAAACTTATTGGGATTGTTTTTCCTCCTTGTTAATAATTCATAGAGCTATTAACATTCTCCCACTATTAGAAAGCTGAGCTTTGAGTTTGGAACTACCTTAGCACTTGGGTGACCTCTTTGTGAAGTCTCAGCCTTTCTTCAGACAATGTGCTCCTACCTCATAGGTTTGTTCTCTTGAAAGAGCTGGGCAACTTTGGCTGAAGCCACTTGACACTGATGTTCTAGATTGCCACATTAGTAAAATGAGGTTAGAGTGATTGATTTTTAAGTTCTCTATTGCTCTGTTATTGTATGATTTGGGATAGCCAGAGAGTTTTTATTTTGAAGTTTATTACATGAATATGATATGAATCCATTACATGCTAGTAACTGAGTCTCAAAAACTTGTGTGTGTGTGTGTGTGTTTGTGTGTATATATATGTATATATTATGTATATATATACGTATATGTTATAATTTTTACTGATATAATGGATGTGTAGCACATAATTTAGAAATAATAATAAAACACTCAATACTCTATTTTTAATTCCCAATAAAGCTACTTGATTCTCATAGGAACAGGATGCTTTTGTTGAGCATAATGTATATATAAAACCAAATGTATATATTTTCCCCACTTATTTGGTATAGAAGTATCATATCAGTAATAATGAAAATAGTAAGAAAAATTAAAGCATCATTTCTAGGTACAGATAAAGAAATAATCTCAGAGAAACTAAAATATTTGCCACAGTCAGTAAGTCCCAGATCTGATACTGGAACATAAGTTTTTTTTCTTTTCTAACTGCAAGTTCAGTTTTTTCCCTGTAAATCTGTGGGTAAAGAATGGTTCTATAATTGGCAGGTAGACTCCCATATATTCAGTTTTTCCTTTAACCTTTTATAACACCAGACTTGATGTGCTTTGACTCTCTCTCTTCTTCTTTTTTTTTTTTTAATATATTTTATTGATTTTTACAGAGAGGAAGGGAGAGGGATAGAGAGCTAGAAACATCGATGAGAGAGAAACATCGACCAGCTGCCTCCTGCACACCCTCCACTGGGGATGTGCCCGCAACCAAGGCACATGCCCTTGACCGGAATCGAACCCGGGACCTTTCAGTCCGCAGGCCAATGCTCTATCCACTGAGCCAAACCGGTTTGGCTCTCTCTCTTCTTGATGGCCAGACTACCTTCACACAAGATCTACCAAAATTTAATAAACCCCGACCCCTCATAAATAGTCAGTGCTAATGTATTCTAATCAAGTTTCTGCAAAGCACTTTACCCTGGGAAAAACTGCAGAAAAACATTTAAGTATAGTCTCAGCTTTTTGCTCCTTATAAACTTGAAAATATGCTAGTAGCTATTATCTCAGAGTAGTTCTCATTCTAATGGTGAAGTTATACTCTGGCATATGTCAGCTCTTTGCTGGCACTTGCAGGATTCTGAAGCCTGGTAGTAGGTTTAACATATAATGAATGGATGTATCCCATAAGATAAGACATATTTCCTCCCCTCTCCACTGTTTTAAGCTTTTTTTCACCTTTGATATGTATGTGCTAAAATGCCCAAGTCTACACATTCCGTCCTACAAAGGACCCCTCTCATTCCCTGTTCCATTACTTCCTTATTTCCGTAGACTCCTTCCTTATTGCCCTCTTGCCTCGCTTCCCCTTGTTTGCCCTACATCAGAGAACTACCCTGTAGTGACCAGCGCCCCTCAGCCCCAATCCTTGGCTTCATTCTGTCTCAGAAAATGCAAGATTTCCCATGTCTGACATTTGAAATTTGCCCCCTTTCACAAAATAAAAAGTGCCAAACAGGTCAAGGATCAAATCAAGGGGCACAGTTGCTGTAGTCTCAGCTGTAGGCAAGTGTGTTTAGAAGAGATGTCCTTTCAGAAGCACAACTGAAGACAGCAGGGAAATTCAGACCAAGTAGCCATGGATGCTGAATGCAGTTCTGGACACTTCCAGGAACACCAGTCTTCTCCTTTCAGAGAGGTTTCTACTCTTCAGAACATAGCATGCCACCCCCTCCCCCTTATTTAAACATGATTGACTCATTTACCAAAGCCTTAGTGCAAATGCTATGTGCCCCCTCCTTAGGCAAACAAATAAAATGAAATCACATATGAAGTGTAAATATGGGCAAGAGGTGTGGTATCCATGGCATCGCAACCCGGCTGTTTGAGAAACTGCACCCGAAACAGGACAGCCATATGCTACCAGTCAGCACGCCTGTTTCTAGACCAGAATGGAGTTTGGAGATCTCTCCCATCCAATATGTTCGCTGATTACGGCGGCTGATTCATGTCCCTACAGAGATGAAGGCGCCATATTGAGAAATGTGCTATGTTCACACTCCACCATGGCCCCACCTGACAGATTCAGTTATTCAGGGATGTAGTTCTAGCTTAGTTGTTTTCTCCTGTGAGCCAAAGTGAAATACACCTACTGGACATCTTAACCTGAGAAATTTCTAGGTAGATAAAGAAATTAATAAATTCATTTTCCTGTCATAGGTCATTTTCCTATTCTCAGGATCACATACAAATTAAAACATCTCTATTATGTCTAAATATCAAAATATAGGCATGTGGACCTGGGGAACTCTAATAATTTGCATGTCTTCGTTAAACATGAACACTTGAATTTTAATCACACGTACTTTCATTTTATATATATTGCATGGCACAATAGTGATTTAGATCCATTAAAATTTAAAAGTGGTAACACCTGCATTCAAGGAAGTCTATAATTAGGGTAATAAAATTATTGGGTGTTTTTTTCAAAATACAGATGCTAATTAACTATTTTAGTTTCTAGTCTTTCCTTGAAACTTATATTCTAGATATTATTTTTACTTAAATGTATTTCATAATTTCTCATTAATAGAAATATATACACATGTCATGGACAAACCAGGGTGTCTCTTTGTATATAGCATAAGGTGATGAGAAAATACACACTATCTTGAATATATGATATACCTCTTAGGAACACCATAGTCTTATTGATATTCTCAGTCAAAAACAGTTTACTAGTATATAGTGGCTAGAAACAAGGGCTTTGAATTCAGATATTATTTTATTACTTACAGCTATGTGACCTTAACCATTGCCCTATTTTCTTTAATATAGCTCCCTGTGATACAGAAAGGTCAATTAATTAATATCTCAAAGTAGATACCATTGGTAGCCCACAGTGGTGGAAGGCACCATTTTACACAGGCAGGAAAACACAGAGCTAATTGTGACATTCTCCAGCCTTCCTCTCCCCAACTAAAAGTCCCCAATAAAACTTTTGATTATTTCCTGACCTCATTATTTTCTCTCCATCCTGGTGACCTCAGAGTCATCTTTGACTCCTTGTTCCTTTGCCCTCTACATCTTATTGCTGAGACTTTTTGGTTGGGCACATTATTTGCCTCATTAAAAATAAAGAGGTTCATCTGTTTCTTATAACCTGATTCTAGTTAAACCAAACACAGCTTGGTTCTGTAAATATTTCAAAGGCAGGTATTTTATCCCTCAAAATTATTTCTATTTCTCCACAGATTGCTCATCAGAGTGGATGGCCGGTAAGTGTTCAATTGATAGTTACAAGTGATGTTCATTTTTCTTACTGTAGGTTGGTATACACTTAATCTGTATTTCAGAGATTCATATTCATTTGGAAAACTTTTTAAAAATTGAATGCCTAACAAAAACACATCCATACCACCCATTTTATTTGCCACTGGCCACTGCTTGAAAGTTCTGAGGATGTTTGGGGGTTGAAATATATTTCTAGAAACCACAAAGAGGTCACTAATGTTGACAACCCCGAATCCCTCTGAAAAATAAGCACCTGCTCCTCTTATTTACTATAATAACACATGCCTGGTCTCTGTACAGGTCAAACAGGTTTTTTAGAATTTGCAAAAGGCAATTATTGGATATTAAGACTGTAGCTGTCTTTGAACCTTAGTAATAAGACCTTCATCAAATACTGGGGGCTTCTGATCTTATGAAAATAACTTGGCTAAGTATTAATGGAGAAAGTTTAGGCAATGGGAAAGACAGTATATATCTACACATTATAACCATGTTTTTATTTCAGTAAGCATGAAGAACAAGCCTAAGATTACATCCAGATTGCCGATAAACTTTTTATACGCTTAATTATGGCTTGCTTCAAAATCAGGTTTTGGTTACCCACTGAGGTAAAAAGCTGGTTAAGCCTATTACAAATCTAGCAAAATAAAAAGCAAAGGCCGAACATTAGTTGCTTAAATGCCTGCTACCCAGATTAAGTTACAAGCATCTTGTTAGCAGGAGTTATTTCTTCAACTGTCATTCTCAATGCCTACCCTAGCATCTGGCCCATAATAGGTGCTATATAAAGAATGAATGAGTGCTTGATTTATATCACCTATTTATACATATGCTCTGGGATATATAAGGGAATTGTATTATCTACTGCCCAAATGAAACATCATTCAGGTAAAACTCTAGAGCTGCATTGTCGAATATGGTAGTCACTAGACACATGTGGTTATGCACATTTAAATTAAAATTAGTAAAGATGCAATAAAATAAAACTCCAGTTCCTCAGTTGCATAACCATAATTTAATGTAGACATTGAACACTTTCTTCATTGCAGAAAGTTTGCTCGATAGCATTCTTCTAGAGAGTGTGGTATTTTCTTCATATAAAAAACCCCAAATCCCACCATGCCAGTATATAAATCCTAATATACTCAGATGGTTTTGCAATTGTGAATACTACCCTCAACTTTAAAGAATCCAGGATCCCATCCACTATATATTTCCTTATCAGCCTGTAGGCTTGTGATAGTCATAATTATTAACAGCTCTTTAAGAGATTTTTAATAAATTCAAAAGGCAATAGAGAAAAACACCTTAAAGAAGAGGTTGTCACACATATGCTTGCTAAATATTCAGATTCTCAGATCCTAGCTGCAAGAACCTGCTCCAATAGGTCTGAGGTGTCTTAATGAATATACATTATTAGACCACCCCAGGCGATCTTGATGCACATGGTCCAAGGGCCACATACTGAAAAATGTAGCCTATGAATTACAAGGATTATCTTCTTGCTTATTCAACAAAATATATTGACTCTATGTTATGGCATTATTCTAGGCACCAGAACGATAAAGACAGAGAAAGAGAAGACATCATTAGAGAAGGTAGATATTAATGGTGGTTCCTTTCACAAACTTGTTCCTCCAATCATAGGCACCCTGAACACTGCTGCCTATCCAAACCTGCTCTAAGTGAAATCTGGCTTCTTTGTATGCAAAGGTGAGTCCAGGAAGGATTTGATAGTAGGAATGGGAGTAATGGAATGGAGGACAAATTAAAAGGGGGAGAAGGTGAAAGAGGAGGAGGTGGGAGATGAGGAGGAGAGCAGCAGGAGAGGGAGAAGAAAAGAAGAAAGAAGAAGGAGAGAAAAGAATGGGTCTGAGAGATAAGAAGGAAGACAAATGTACAAAGTTAGTGATTGGATGTTGAACAGGGCAATAAGCAAAAAAAGAGTCTGAGTTGGCATTTATATTTCTGACTCAGGTTGGTAGACAATAGAGCCATTCACTTAAACATGGAATACAAAAAAAATAGTAATTTGGAGGGAATCAAAATGGTTTAGTTTTGATATGTTGGAATTGTATGCTGCCTTTGGTACTTCAAAGTGAAGACATCTAGAAAGGAACTAGGTATACAGTTTTAGAGCTTTAAAGATGGAGGTTTGGGATGCACCAATGTTTCATGAAACAAGGGGAGTAAATGAAATCATACAAGAGAATAAAATCATACTATAGAAAGAGAAGAGGAGCTCAGAAAGATAGGAATTTGGTAGACATAAATAATTTAAGCAGTGATTCTTAAACTTTGTGTTCCATGAACTTTCTGAAAAATCAGATGATTTCTAGAAATGTCAAATATCACAGACTTAAAAAAAAGTTTCCAGTACCCCTTTGAGAACTTCCACAGATTTCAGATGTTTAAATTACAAAAGAAGAAGGGAAGCCCATGAAAGACAGTGAGAAGGGGAGTCAAATAATAGGAAAACCAGATTTCCAACTCTTGGAAATTTGTTTTTCTGACCTAATGCAACACTAAATATAAGCCTTTCAAATTAGTAGCCTGCTATTCCTGTTTGTAGAATCAGGAAAGCAAGAATGCATATTTAGAAGTACATAATTTATTGAATTATCTTTTCTTATCAGTCCCTCAGAGTCAGCAATTGGATTCCTTCTCCATTCTGTTTTAGGTTTTCTTTCTTTGACTCATAGAAGCCATGGCTTCGTTAACTCAGGAAAGAGAGTTTCTTAGAGGATATCAACAACCCCGCAGTGGTATTCTCTTCCAGGTAATTATCAAATAGGTGTAGAGTAAGGACAGCATGAGTTTGTGTTTCACTGGGATCCTGGCCTTTGATGTCACACTTACCTACAGAAGTGATGATGACTGTGAAATGAGTTTCATCTTGCCTTCCAGTTACGTTGTTGTAAGCACAGCACACATAGTCAGTTGTCTTCTGGGCTACTTCCTCAGATGCAACTTCCAAGAGAGGCCCATGCTTAATGACGTATGTTGTGTTGTCAGTCCTTTGGATCCAGGAGTAGGTGTTAGGAGGGTAAGAATCAGCAGAACAATCAAACAAGATGGCTTCTCCAATGTCAACAGTAAACACTTCCCCTACTTTTAGTCCTTTATCAGAATTAACTCGAAGTCCATAAGGTCCATCTGCATTAGTTAAAAAAAAAGAGAAAATGATAACATAAATAATCAAGACATAGTTTACAAGTTTGAAAGAGCTTAGCAGCATTTTCTTTTCTGTGAAAGTCTTCAAGTTAAACTTGGGCAATAGGTTCCCTGTTTAGACTCCCAATAAAGGATAAGGACCTAAAATGTTTTATTCTGATATCCATGGAAATAGTAAATATTTGAGATGTGATTGACCTTATTTGAAATAGTGAAAGCCTTGAAACTTGGTATATTACAAATTTACAGACACTGTTGTCATAATCATGGTGCTAAGCTTTTGAGCAACATTGATAAATATGCAATCTTGATAGACAAATTCAATCTTTCTGAAACAGTAATTGCATTAGAAAGCAATTTAAAAGTAGCTTATGGCCACTATTTTATCTTCGACAGTCATACTTTGAGTATTATGTACGTGTTTTTCTAGTGCTAGGATATGTTATGCAAATATTTATAAAATACAGGTACATAGTTTCACATGGAACATAAATTTGTGCAAATAGATATAAGGGGTGTTCTATATGTGCATATTTTCATGACATTTTAACAGTTAACAAATTTTAAAAATACATCTTTTTTTGTTAATCCTCATCAGAGGATATTTTTTCCCCATTGATTTTTTTTAGAGAGAGAATGGAAGGGAGGAAGTGGAGAGAGAAAGAGAGAAACATCGATGTGAGAGAGACACATTCATTGGTTACCTCCTGAATGCACCCTGACCTAGGCAGACCAAACCTGCAACCCAACTACACACACTTGACTGGGAATGGAACCTGCCACCCTTTGGTGCTTGGACTGACACTCTAACCACTGAGCAATGTGGGCCAGGGCTAAAAATACATCTTCATTATCATTAACAAATATTCATTGATCATCAATAAACTACTTAATTATGGATAGGCCATGGTGTTTTTCCTCACACTACAATATTCCTATAGCATTTTGCTATTTCTATGGCATCTGATTGCCTGCAGATGGAGACACATTTCCAATTGCTTTCTTCAGAGAATAAAGAGAGAGATTAAAAAAATATTCCCACCCTAGCCAGTTTGGTTCAGTGGATAGAGTGTTGGCTTGTGGACTGAAGGGTCCTGGATTTGATTCTGGTCAAGGACTCGATCCCCAGTAGGGGTGTGCAGGAGGCAGCAAATCAATGATTCTCATCATTGGTGTTTCTATCTCTCTCTTCTCCCTTCCTCTCTGAAATCAATAAAAATATATTTTAAAAAATATTCCTTAGCTGGATAGGTTTTTATCATTCAATCTAAATCCTGGCTTATGTTCCAAAAACTTTAAAGTTCATGCATGATGGTGCTCATTTTTCAGTTGATCATATCCAACATTTATTGGATATTTGCCATCTGAAGGCACTTTACTTATGTAGATAACCACATTTAATATTTAAGGCAGTCACATAAAGTAGATTATTATTCTCCTTACAAGATGAAGAGATAATGTAAATATTAACTTTGCCTTGGTCACGTACCTATTACATAGCATAGCTAGGACTCTAAAATACATGCATTTAATGTTCGTATTATCTCTCTAAAAATGTAAGTGATATAACTTCCACAACAGTTTCTTTTTGTCTAATTATAGTATTCGTTCTACAATAAATTACTATTGAATTAGATATTCTGTACTCAGCTAATCAAGTAATCAATCAACAAATTCTTGTTTAAGAGATACTAGGTGTTAGATAACATAGTATATAAGAGATAAAAAATGTGTTAAGACATAGTTCCTACTCAAAAAAATTATACGCTAGATGGTTTGCTCAATAATAACCTAATCTTAAAGGTTCTGATTTTTTTTTAAAAGTACTAGCTATTTGATCTCTCATTATGTGAAATAATTTAAGACTAGATAGTAGGATAGAAAGGTAGATTAAATCCTGATTTTTTTCAATGATTAGTTAAGTTTTCTTCAGAAGTAATTTAAACTTTTTGGGTCAAATTTTCCTCACCTTTACTATAAAAAGGTTGACTAGATGAATAGTTGTTAAAGTTCTTTTTACCTTTGAAACATCATGATTCATGACGTACTAAAGCTATTTTGCATACTGGCAAGCCAGCCTCAAATTTTCAGGTAGCCAAAATAGTTCTCTATTATGTGAGCATTTTCTAACCAACCTACTATTAGGGAAACAAATTTCCTAAGATATAACAGACGCGGAAGATGCAAAAAATGAATTATATTTACTTAGGGAACATTCACTTTACACATATTTGCTTCCTAAAGACACACAGACTTCTGAAAGAAACCTGTAGATTAATGTGTACATATGAGATGATCCTGCTTTCAGAAAGCAAACATTAAAGTTTGAAGTAACCAGGAGCTGGACATGGAGCATTAAAGTGAAGAGAAATGAATGTCCCTTTCCTGTGACTGCTTTAGAACCCTGTAACACTGTCCCCTCATTTCAGGCTGTGATGTGGTCTTGGGAAAACCACTGTTATCTCAGGGCCAGTGCAGCAGTGGGGGCCCTTCAAGTAGTCATCACAGATAGAACATTAGGGAAGCCAAGACCACCACCCGGTGGTGGGCGCTTGTTGTGGTTCACATAGCAGAAAAACAGTGGGAGGCGACCACCGAGGTTTGGAACAACAAGGGACCCAAGTCTGTACACAAAACTGAAAGACAGAGCAGAGCAAGGCAGATAAAGAAGAGAAGTGTGGTCTTAAAAATACAGCCATTTAGTTTAAGCCACTGCCTTCCCACTGGTTTTCAGGGTTTCTAGATGGTGACTATAAAAACAAATGGCCTGATAATTTAACACACATAAAAATTAGGGGTATTTCGTTCAAAGTGTGCTGACATTACTCAAAGGTTTTTTTTTGGAAAACCTTCATTTGGAATTGCCTTAGGACCTTGCAACATGATGGAATATTCTCCAAAATAGTAATTCTTCCATTTTGGAGGGTGGGTTTGATTCGCAGAGAAAGCCCATAGTCATTTAGAGAGAAGGCTGGTGAATAAGATTGATTATCTAATTTAATACCATCACTCTAGTTTAGAACATGATTTTAAATAAAGGAATCTGATGATCTTACTTTATTTTCCCAACATTCATATCTATTTTGATTTTGCTACTTCCCCATTTGTTGAGTTTCATTGTTTGGCATAATTTTTTTGTCCTCTGTCTGTCTTAATTATATGTTATCTGGCTCTTCACAGTTAGCCTCAAAAACCCCAAATTCTCTACCCCACCCCCAAGCATTTCCTACAGTTCTTAGAACATAAAACCAGAGCATTTTGGTTGCTTGTTTCTGATATTATTTCTTTTCTTTTTTCTTTTTTTGTTCTTTTTTAAATTTTTTTTGTTTCTTTTTTTTCTTTTTTTTTTTGGTTATTTTTTGTTTTTTTTCTTTTTGTTTCTTTTCTTTTTTTTACTTCTGATATTATTTCTTAAAGTATAACCTATTAAATTGATTATATAAAAAATACATGTTCATTGCAGAAAATCCTAATATTCAGAGAAGCGCAAAGATGAAAACTTATTTGTAATTTCACCACTCAGAGAACGAATATCCATATTTCACTGTATAATCTTCTAGTCTAGCTGTTCTCAACCTGTGGGTTGCGACCCCTTTGGGGATCGAACGACCCTTTCACAGGGGTCGCCTAAATACATCCTGCATATCAGATATTTACATTACGATTCATAATAGTAGCAAACTTACAGTTATGAAGTAGCAACGAAAATAATTTTATGGTTGGGGGTCACCACAACATGAGGAACTGTATTAAAGGGTCACGGCATTAGTAAGGTTGAGAACCACTGTTAGTCTTTCTTCTTTCCTCCCTCCCTCCCCTATAGATCTTACCCATTATTCTTTTACACTCTACACACTGCTTATAATCAATCTATTTTCTTCTTAATGAACTATGATGTTACTTCTTTTTTCATTATCACTTCAGGCTGACCATCCCTTTACTTTGAGGTGCAACCTAGTACATTATTCATGGATATGAGCAATCCAATGAAAGACATTTGGAGTGATTCAACCAATATACAACCAGTGCAGCTCTGACGTTGAAGATGAGAGCAGAAAGATAATTCTGTTTTGACTTTGGATTGTGGTTCAATTCCTTGCCTTTGGCAGAGAACTCCCAATAGAAATGAACCCTTTGCTTCAGGAAGGGCTGTTTACTAAATGACTTGTAAAATCACATATCATCTGTTCTCTTTAACAATTTATGGCTGGGTGGCAACAGTACCTAAGTTTTCATCATGATGCTGCTTGCCACCCTGCTTGGAAGCAGATGGTAAGTATTTACTGTGAATGACCTTTTTTTTTCCTTTAATTTTTATCACTTAGAGTACTTCCCTGCAGCGGTGCCATATGCTACACACAAAAGGCAGCGGTTACTGGGTTATTACTTACAAGAGCTGGAAGGCACATACATTTCATGAACTTCAAGTAGATATTTGTCTGAATTATTGGCTTGACATTGTATTCCACCAGGATCAATACCAGATTATGACATCATATCCTCAAAAATATATGGTCAATCTTGATAAATTTTGTTACACATTTTTTTCTGCCAGAATAAAAACTAATTTCTGCTTTCATGAAAGAAGCTGTCATAGAAACAGTGCCTTAAGAAAACAGATTGGGTAATTCATGCTGAAATTCTAAATTGTGGTGTGAACTTCTATGGGGGAATATTGGAATATGACATTTACTAGATTATTGAGGAACTCTGCTAAAGGTCAGAAAAAAACAACAATGAAGGGCACACGCACTTTAAGAAGCTGTTATCTTGTAATGGGAATTTAGTCTTTCTACAGTGTCATTAAGTAACACGAGAATCTGAGAGGGATAGGAAGAAAGATAATCTGTTCCATTCTAGTCAAATTCAAGAAACTTTGAGTGAGTTCTTAATCTGTGCAAATTATTTTCCTGGGGGTATGAAGTTGAATAATGTCTGGGTATGGGGCACTGATGAGGGTAAGAGACCCAGGAAAATATAATTCAATGAGTACCAGAGGGCATATGTGCATAGGGTACTGCAGGAGCACAGCGAACCTCCTAGCAGCATAGAAGAGGTGAGACAGAGTGGGGGCAGGTGAGCCTTTCTAGAGAAGATGTGAAGAAAGAGGATGTAACCAGGAGCACGTAAGCAGGTGAAGAAAGAGAAGAAGGTACAACATCAAGTAAGGCATGTATTCTCAGTTTGCATGGAATGATAAATATTGCAGACATGTTGATGCCACATCAATGGAAAGGATAAATGACAAATCTTCAGATTATATATTTAATTTAATCCTTATAACCCCAAACCAAGAAAAGAAAACAACAACAATAAAATAGGGCTAAAGAGTGATAGCAAGAAAAATTAATAAAATAACTCTGGGTAGTGTTTCAGTATATGTTACATATATGTTACACATGTTGCATGTTTCTATGAGTAATAATTGCTTAGAATAAACAAGACGATAATTTGATTTTTGAATCATCAAAATATGACAGAATGAGTGAATAAATGAATGAGGGAATAAATGAATGAATGAGTGAATATCATTAAGTGGTGTTGAGTAAGTGAAGGCTTTCACATTTGAATGAGAAAATACTCTGCTGGGAGCCGGTCCATCCTTGCTGTTTCAAGGGACCTGGCATATATGGCATACTGTTCTTAATATGTTTGCTCACCTTCTTGGCACTATGTGTTTTAACCAAGGTCTCTGAGAAAGGTTGTTTCCCCAGGTAGGGATTTTCCCCTGAAGTTAGGGAGGGAATAAAACCTCTTAACTAAGTGCCAGGCGGGTAATTAATCACTTTAACTACGAACAGTCATGCTTAAGCTACATAATCTTTACTCCCTGGAATGGAGATAAGAAACGCCCTAACCTTTGTAATAGAGATTGATAGGATTGGAATCAACTGGTATAAATACAGATGTAACAAGACAGAACTTAGAAGACAGAACCTAGACACAGAACCTACACGGAACCTAGAGACAGAAGAACTTTGCTGGAGAGAACATGGCGAAAGATCCTGGACAGAAACTGGAGACAGAACCTAGAGACAGAACCTAGAGACAGAACATGGCAAAAGATCCTGGACAGAAACTGGCAACAGAACCTAGAGACAGAACCTAGCGAGAGAACCTGGCTGAAGATCCTAGAGACAGAACCTGGCTACAGAACCTGGATAGAACATGGCAAGAGAACCAGACTAGAACCTGGTGACTGAACCTGGCTGGAGAACCTGGAGAACCTGGCTGGAGAACCTAGCAAGAGAACATGGACACAGAACCTGGCTGGAGATCCTAACCAGAACTTCTCTGGAGATCCTAACCAGAACTTGGCTAGAGATCCTGGCTAGGCTGCTGATCAACTGAACGCTGCCTCCGTGTCATTCCTTCTTCGCCGACTCCGTCCACACCTTTGGGGACCCCTGGACCCGCTGGGGCTGGACCCCAGCAATACTCAAGAAAATTAATTATAATACTATATTTATAATTACCTCTTAAGAGTAAAAAATCTTAGATAATGCAGGTATTCATCTTTACAATATATAAATAGAACCTACATTTGTAAATTTTCTCAATGTTCTTCTTTCTACTGTCATTAGTCTATACTCAGGACAGATATTTCTCTATGAGATGTCCCTAGATTACATCTAAAAGAATGTGAAGAAGAAAGTTCAGTCTATAAAAGAAGATATATTTGAAAATTTGACTTTATTCAAATTGGGATATTTTAATTCTTTCAAATAACAAAGGAAAGGAAAGAAGGTATAGCATTTAAAGTGTAATATCTAACATTTACAGGTGTGATTAATGGGTTTTCTCCCCATTTTTATGCTTTCCACACTATGTATCATCATATTCTGTGATAATGAGATTGGGGCATAAACTTGAACATGTTGAAAGAAAAATCTTACTTTCCCTTTTCCAGATTAAAATAAACACTATATCAAAATAAAAGAGTAAAAATACAAAGGACACTTTAATGTGCCTATTTATGCAGTTTCCTCCAGGAATATTTTATTTAACTTTGTGGCCAAGGTTTAAAGATAGACAGATAAATGAGAGATAAATGTAAGAAATAATTAATGCAAAGAAAATATTTTCATATAGAAAAACAAAATATGTTAATTTAAAAAAATGGTAATGTTTAGGGAAGAAAAAATTTATCCTAAAGGTATTCTTTCGGTTTTTTCTTTGCAGGTGTTTTCTAAATTACCCAGGCTTTCCATAACTTCTTGCTGCCATGTTGCCAATTATGTCGGCATAATTGTGTCTCAAAGGGAAAAAAAGAGCTAACATTATTGAGTTCTTCCTAGGTGCCTCTCGCTGACTTCTTTATACATAAAATTTCACTTAATCCTCCATCCCTCTTACATTGGGGAGAGTGTAGATAAGATGAGGAAACTGGTGCACAGAAAGGGACAGAACCAGGTCTTTAACCCAGGCGGTCTGAATTCACAGCTGAGGCCCAAAACCACTGTACTATCCACTGACTCTCCAAATGGCGTGATGTTAATTAGAGCATGTGATCAAAACAAATCATGATCAGGTTTCCTATGGTTAACAGGGAATGCTCCAACAGGATCTCACTTCCTGTTGTCTGTCACTGCACTGAATGATGATGGTTCCTTGGGATTGATATTCAGTAGATAAAATCTGGTTGGTTTAATATCTTGTTTTGCATTTTGTACCTTTTCTATGTGAATGCAAACCATTTAGACCAAACAATAAAGAATAATGTAAGGATGTGTCTACCTAGCCCTAGATTTGATTCAGTTTGCTCACATTCCTTACTTCTGCTTAAGTAACTTGAAGCTTAGGTCTGTAGTACTTGAAGTTGAATGGAAGTTTTAATTCATATCAGAATAGCCTTATTCAGTCAAGAATGCGACCACATAGTAAATAGACAGTACCAAAAAAATAGACGGTACCAAATTTTTCACTCCAATTCAATGCTAGTTGTGCATATTATAGTCACAGTTTATATTTTCTCTATGAATCTATTTCTTAGCACAGTTTTTTCACAATGTTATCAGAATATAAGTTTATGTAAAACTAAAAATAAAGCTAAAAGTTCAGCTATACAGTAAAAATAGTACCATTGTTATTGATACTATCACAACTAATGATTGAAACAAATCTTATATAATTTGCTTGCAGTGAGTGGTGTTTTGGTATTTCTCTGTGAAAAACTATAATTTCTGTCTCTGGCACTCTTTAATAATAAAATTTCTTCTGTTTTTGATAGAAGGAACTGGCTCATCATTAAACTCACTGAATTTTGAGTTTACCAGGCTTAATTCTACCCTTATGGTTCCACCAGCTGAACCCTCCATCCTCAGGCCACAGGGGTGAGAAGTCTTCCTTGGCTCACTGTTCCTGTTCACGCTGCTGTTCTAGCTGTGCTCTGAGCTATATGGTATCTGATAAGAAGACTTCCAGGGCCCTGACCAGTTTTGCTCAGAGCATCAGCCTATGGACTGAAGAGTCCCAGGTTCGATTCCAGTCAAGGGCATGTACCTTGGTTGTGGGCACATCCCCCGTAGGGGGTGTGCAGGAGGCAGCTGATGGATGTTTCTCTCTCATGGATGTTTCTAACTCTGTATCCCTCTCCCTTCCTCACTGTAAAAAAATCAATAAAAAATATATATTTTTTTTTTAAAAGAAGACTTCCCAGTGGGATAGGCCATTGGTTTTCAACTAGGGGAGATTTCCCCCCCTCTCCCACTCTAGGGAACATACCACAATGTCCAGAGATATTTTTAGTTGTCCCAACTGGAGGGTGTTGCTACTGGTATGTAGTGGGTAGAAGCCAGGGATGCTGTTAAACATCCTATAAACATCTCATAACAATGAAGTTGTTCAGCCCAAAATGTCACTGGTGTGGAGGTTGAGAAGCTCTGTGCAAAGCTAACATTACCATGTGATATTAAACATGCTAGAGGTGGTGCTCTGGAGTAGAGAGGACTGGGTTTAAAATATAATAAAGAGAGGAATCGTGTTTGGGTTGGTGATGATGTTATGACATGAACTGAAGAGTTTGATTAACTTAACTCTGTACATGAGATTAAACAACAACAGAAACAAAAAGGACCAAAGAAAATTGAAATCTGAACTAATTGCTATTCCCTGAGAAACTGAATACCTTACTGAGGAATAACTGTCTTCTCTATGATCCTCCCAATACCCTGACTCTCAGCATGGAGCTGAGGAAATGGGGGGTGAGGGGGGGGCGGGCGGGAGGAGAACAGCCTGGGCACATTATTCTTTCCTTTGGTCAGTTGCAGAGCACATCTCTCTCCTAGTTTAAGATGACCAACTTACCCTCCTTGGGGATGAATAACTTAGTGCCTTCTGCATAGTTCTGGGTTCTTGAAATTGAGGTTCCTACTTTCCACTGGAAATAAGGTCACACAATGCACTAAGTCACAAAATGTATCCGGAAAGGCCCTTGGCCAGTATCTCAAGTTGAACTTCAGAAATAGGGTTGTGCAAGCAAATATATTTCATGATAAGACAGTGCCTAGGAAGTGTGATGATAGCTGCACTATAAAAATCAAATGGCATTTGGTATTGATAGTCTCTGTGACCACCCTTGTGACAACTTCCCAGAAGAAAAGTTATGATTTTGTTTTAAACTTACAATATATGGTGGGCATAATGGTGTCACTTTCCATCTCACTGACAGGATTCTTCACCAGGCAACTGTAATTCCCAATGTCTTCTTTGGTCACTGGAGCAATATGAAGAATGTTGTTTTGGGGAGAAAAGGAGTTGGTGGAGCTCGTATGGACAGGTCTCCCATTTTTTAGCCACTGGTAAGCCAGCCGGGTACCTTCTTCCACCAGGCATGTCAGTGTCATGTTCCCTACGTACTCCACAGCCCCAGAGGAAGGCTGAATCTGTACCATGGGTTTTGTGACAAGGTCTGCAATATCAAAGAGAGAAATGATTTTTACCACCATGACATTTTAACAAAAATCTATGAGGTCTCTCACATATTAAATCTCAGGTAAATGAGTCTACAGTTTTACACTTTGTAAATGTAAACAGTTCAGGCGATAATTCAGGAAGAGACTAAAAATGCAAAACAATAAAATATAAAAATATAATTCATAGCAGATAAATAATCACATTCTGGGACTTACTTGTCAAGGATTTCCTAATGAGAACCTTTATAGCTAATGGAAGTTAGTGGTGGAGAACACCAGGGGCCCTCTTTCCTGTTTTGTGCTTGCTGACAATGTGGAAATATACTCTCACAGACAATACATGCTTAACCCTCTCTCTTGACTTGCCCTAAATCCCAAGGGCAGCTGGTGGGATGGATGTGGTGAATCCAAATTTCTACTATTTGCATAATATAAAGCTCATATATATTATACTTGTGGGGAACTGAGGGAAAGTTTTAGAAAATCGTATCTGTACCCATTACTTTTCCTTTTATGTAAGCGAACTAATTGTATGTTTTAGTTGCTGTGCATTTGGTTTTGCAACATTACATTTATCACTCTAACAAAGCAGTACCTACATTTCAAAACTGACTCAATCTGAAAATAGGATACTGGGATTATATCAAATTAGGGATGTAAAAGACAAAATCTCAGTAGAGATTCCTATTGGAACTTTGAGATACAGGAAAACAGTTTTATATCATGAGCCCAAAACATTGTAGTAATGTGATATCTAACAAATGAGTAAATTTCTAAAAATGAGTATATATTTATTTTTTTAAAAATATATTTTTATTGATTTCAGAGAGGAAGGGGGAGGGGAGGAGAGAGAGAGAGAGAGAGAGAAACACCAATGATGAGGGAGATCAATCACCATTGATCTGCTGCCTCCTGCATGCCCCTCAATGGTGATTGAGCTCACAACCTGGGCATGTGCCCTGACCAGGGATCAAATGGCGACCTCCTGGTTCATAGGTTGATGCTCAACCATTGAGCCACACTGGCTGGGCTGAATGAGTATATATTTCTTCTCTGAGTTTTAACTCTAAAATTGTTGGATAAGGGTGGAAATTACATCAATATCTACAATCATTTTTAGCAACCTTCATTAATTTTTAAGGTGCTTGACTTGGTTTGATAAAGGACGGTGACTAGCCTAGAGTTACATAGCAGTCAGTGGCAAAATGAAGAGGGCTTTAAATCTGACAGTATTTCTCTGCAGCATTTTGGAGAGATATGGGTTTAATAATCTCCTGTGTATGACTACAGTACACAGAGAGAGTGAGATGATATAGAAGTGACAGATGATTGACTCCAACATTAAGATTTCAATTTCCTATCAAGCTTTTAACCAGGTTGATGTATCTTAAGTAAATCTGCCTCGACTCATACAATTTCCTACACTGGAAAATGCTTATTACGGAACAAACAGATTCAAGCCTTCAGTCCAGAGGAGATAGGAAAATATGAAAGATAAGGAGAAGGGGAGTTGAAAGGGCAGCCTGCAGGGCAACTGAGGAGTTCCATAGTCTCCAGCCTTTCTCAAGATGGGTAAAATCAACTGGTTTGTCCCTTTAATTTAATCCTTTATCTTTTCTGGCAAAAACAAAGGATTTGGAATAGCTTTGTTTGCATTATTATGATTAGAAAAAAAAATTAATTGTGTACACTTATTACATTAAAAAGTGCATGTTTCATATATGTCTGTGTGGAAATATACATGGTATGAGATAAGTCAAATAGATAACATGTCAAAGATCTCATATGGAGAGAATCAATCATTAGAATAGACATTAGTATTGTAATCACATATTTGCCTAAATAGTGTAACTCAGATGTGGAAATCTCCTGAGAATACTTTTTGCGTAGGCCCCTAAACCCTTATTAAGGCTTTTTGGTTGCATTTCTCTAAACAGATCCAATTTTACTACACATTAACAAGTAATGGATGTTCTACTAAAAGTTTTGGGGATAGATAGGATACTACACAGAATTTCATGAAAAATTTCCTTTAGATTTTTCTCCCTTTTGTTCCCCAAATTTACTCTCTAGGCATCTGCTTCCACAACCTGTGTATTTGCTGCCCCGCAAATTTGATCTCCACTCATTTACTCCACAAATATACACTGAGTACCTACTAATGGGCAGCAACAGGTTTAGGCACTGAGGACAAAGCAGAAAATAATACAAAGTCCCTGCTCCCATGTACCTTTTATTCTATGAGGGGAAGTTAAATACTAAATTAGTAAAAATATATAATAGGTTGAGTGGAAATAAGTGCCTTGAAAGATCTCTCTCTCTCTCTCTCTCTCTCCCTCCCCCCCCCCCCCCCCCCGTTTTGGCTGAGACCTAAAGGAAATAGGAAAGAGAATCATACTATTATCTAGGAGAAAAGCAGTCTAGGTAGAGGGAACAGCAAGTACAAAGGTCCTGTTCTAGGGAGAACAAATTGACCAGAGTAGCCACAGCAGACTGGGAAAGTGAGGTAGGGAATGGAATTGCATAGCTATTGGATATGATGGGGAAATCATGGTGGACCTTGTAGGCCATTGTTAGTACTTTAACTTTTATTCTGAGTGAGATAGAAGGATGTGGGAGGATGTTAAGTTACAGGAGACAGGAGTAGAAACGAAGGCTATGTATCAGGCTACTAGGGTAGTCTAGGGCCTAGGCAGAGCTGATGGTGGGGTGGAGTGGGGCAGTAGTGGGGGTGGTGAGAAGCGATGGAAATCTCTGTATATTTTGAAGGTGAAACTGACAGGATTAACTCATGGGCTGGATGTGGGACATGAGAAAAAGGGGGGGTGGGGAGGTCAATGGTAATGGCAAGGTTTTGCCCTAAGCAATTGATGGAATGGAGTTGGTACTTATGAAAATTTAGGAGAAATATTGTCAAAAAATGGGTTTAGAGAGGAAAATGAGAAGTTGGCCTTTGGGCATAGTATAGTTAAGGTGTGCCATTTAAATACCTCACTAAGGAAAACAACTGTCTGATCGTTAGCTGACCCCACTCTCCCTCAGAAGACATTTCCCACAACGTCCATTGTTTCTTCAGTCTGGTCCTTGAACAGGTCTCATTCTCCCCCACCCAGTGTGTCAAAATAAAAACCTCCATGTGCCCTGACTGGTTTGGCTCAGTGGATAGAGCGTCGGCCTGCGGACTGAAGGGTCCCTGGTTCGATTCCAGTCAAGGGCATGTACCTTGGTTGCGGGCACATCCCCAGGAGTGGGTGTGCAGGAGGCAGCTGATCGATGTTTCTCTCTCATTGATGTTTCTAACTCTCTGTCCCTCTCCCTTCCTCTCTGTAAAAAATCAATAAAATATATTTTAAAAAAACAAACACCTCCATGTGACAAAATTAGAGATCTTCCCAGGGTGCATTCTGCACTGAGAAAATAAAATTTTCTCGATCTCATTACTTTATACTTGATAGTTTCTAGGCAAACAAAAAAGTTCTACTTACTGCTTGATTACCTTTAGCTGGGCACTGAATATCCTTCACATTCCTCTCTGATTTAATCCTCAGAAAACCTCATGAGGTAGATAATGCCATTCACACTGTGAGGCTTTGTGGGTTAATTAATTTGCCCAAAATTGGAGAGCCAGTACCTAAAGCCCAGGTAGTCTAATCTGAGTCATGGCTAACTTCCCAGCTGCCCATAGCATTTATAGTTGGACTCACCATCAACAGTGACTTGTATCTTCTGACTAGCTGAGAGAGTTCCATTTCCTTGAATGTTGACCTTCACAATGTAATTGCCTTCATCAGTGAACTGCAGTGGGTTGATGAGCAGAGATGCATTGGGTGGCATCATGGTGAACTTGTGTTGGTATTCCAAGTCGGGAACCACAGACTTGTTCACAGAGCCCAGTAAGTATTTGGGCATCGTGTGGTGTCTCTCAAACAGCCATATGATCTGGATGTCTGATGCCGGAGTGTGGAATCCATAGTGCACAGGGAGGTAGAGGGCCTGACCCCTGATACCATGGACAGTGTATGATGGCACCACCACCTTCAGCCCTGAGCAAGCGCCTATAACAAAGGAGAGGAAAGCAGTAAAGACTCTGAGCCACATTTCGCAATCTAAAGAGGCAGTGCAGAGAGAACCAGATTAGATGATAATTTCTTTCAAAGAAGAGCAGCTTCTAGCCACTGACTATTCTGGTACCGGTTTCCTGGAGAGGTAAATATTTGTCTCTGAAACTTTCTGCATTTGAAAAACTCCACCCCAAAACTGTGTTGATTACATGACTTCTTTACGGAAAAGCAGAAGTTACTGTCTATGACTGTTAAAGAATAATGGGAAAAGGAGAACTGGGTAAGATTATTAGTTCTAAAGTCCATGAAACTTTTAAAAATTTTAAAATTGTGACTATATTAATGTCTGAGTCATAGATCCTAATCAAACTATGTGATTCGAGAAACTACTTCCTCCCAAAAATCTTCCTCCAAAGTCTTCTAAAATGGCTTTGTAGTCCATTATTGGAAGTTTTTCCTTTTAGCCAAAGCCTTGCCAGATGCAAATACCCCAAGGAGAGTGCCATTAAATCATTATCAGTCATGATGAGTTATTCTTGCCCAGAGGCAGGAATCTGGCTGGTGTGCTTGAGAAACACAAGAGGCAGGAGTAGATGGAGCACAGAGTAGATGGAGCACGGAGGAGGAGGAGGAGGAGGAGGAGGAGGAGGAGGAGGAGGAGGAGGAGCAGCGTGTGATAAAACATGAGGTCAGCAAGGCGGTCAAGGCCAGATCAGGCCAAGTTTTAGGGTCATGGAAAACACTTAGGCAATTATTCTCTGAGATAGGGATGCAACTAGAATTTTGTGAACAGAGAGAGAGATGATCTTTTTGTTTTTGTTTTTTGGGCGCATTTCAGCTGCTGTGAGAATAGACAGGTGTGGGCAAGAGAAGGAGTAGGAGACCACTTAGGAGGTGATTACAGTAAAGTAGGCAAGAGATGATTGTGCTGTAGACCAGAGTAATAGTAAAAGATACTGTGATAAAAGGCTGGTGGTGCTAATTTGATGACACATTGGGGGTGGGATATAAGAAACCAAGAAGAGTCAAGAATGACTCCAAGGTTGTTGACCTGATCAATTGGAAGAGTGGAGTTGTTGCTTATTAATGGACAAGTAATAAAGTTATCATGGGAAGACTGTGAGGAGAACAGCTTTTCTAGGGGAAGATCAGGGCTCAGTTTTGGACATGTTCATTTTAGATGCCCATTAGACATCCAAGAGGGAATACTGAAAGGCTATACTAGGCATGAAAGCTGGATTAAAGTGGGTTTAAGAGGGAAGGATGGCCCTGGAGGACTTTGGGGGCATGGAGCTCTGCCAGGTGCATAGCTCTGGCTCCTGCCCTATTTGCCTGGGTTGTTTGGCCCATGTACTTCTATGTCTGCAGGTTTCTTTCTAGTTTGGGGTAGTTAGAGATTTCCCCATCTTTACCTTGTGTCATGATGCACTGTTTTATTTAGCATTTCTATGTATTTGCAATTGAGAAGAGTCTTCCTTAGTTTAGGCTACCATGTCGCTGAGGTCTTAATTAAAATCTCTTTGGTTCAAAATCTTCATTTTTAAAAATAGCAATATGGCACATTTGAAATAGTGAAGGAGGGAATGGAGGAACTTAAATGTGAAGTATTTTGAACAGTAAGAGAAAAAAAGGAAAGGAAATTGGAGACAGTGAGTAAAGACAATACTTCTGGGGAGCTTTGCCGTTAAGGGGAGCAGTAAAACTTTTCTTCTATTTTTCTTAGGATGGATGCTGAACAGCATCGTTGTAGCTATAGGAATGATGCACTAGAAAGAGAAATCTTGATGAAGCAGAATACATATGGGTAATGATGGAATAAAATCTGAGGTGAGAAGAGATGGGAATTTGGGCACAAATAAATATCTTACAATTGCTATTGAAAAGAGTTTGTCCAGTTGGTGTTAGCACAGCTAAACACTAAACATTGAGAAAGAAGATTGGCTAGTTGATTATGAATGGCACCATGCAGAACAGGAAGTTAATGCTCAAAAACTGGAACTCCCCAATGGAATATAGGTTACAGATTATACAGGGCAGAAATCACACGACACTGTGGGTTAGAAGTTCAGGGTGGTATTGGGAGCTGATTGATAATAAATCATTTCTTCAGATCTTGAGGACAGCTCTGAGGTCTGCTCTGGAATCTGTCTGTCTGGTTTTATGGAAAAGGAGGGTAGGTGGGGGAGGGGGGTTGTTCCACCTTAGAGCTCAGGAACTGAAGCATAATTTAGGTCAAGATATTAACTTTAGCTTAACATACTTTGTGACCCTGGCCATTGTTTTTGGCGGCCTCAGGCGGGTAGTGACTTGTAAGGGAAAGGGTTAAGGTTTACAGGGCATCCTTTGAAGAAACTGTATAGTGCTGGGCTACCTGTTAATTCAAAATTATACATTAAATCAGGTTTCACAATTTCAATTTCCTTATATACAAAATGTTTATCTTCTTTGATTGCTTCACCTTTTCATCTCTACTAGGAAGGGGATCTTAAAGCTTTCTCTGAGTCTTGTTATGAAAAGCCATCAATATTAGGAAGGGAAGGTATAAAGGTCAGTTACACAATGAGTTCTTTGGAGAAAGTGAAAGATGTAGGCCTGCTCCTAGGAGGTATCAAGTTCTACCGACAGTAAATTTCTCTTTCCGTCCCAGGGTACAGGTGGGGGCAAAGATTTCCATGGTTTTGGTCTTTGGCCAGCTAGTAGCAGAAAGTAAGACCCTGGGGCATGCAGGGAAGTTAGAGCAAAGAACTCAGGAGGAGAAAGAGGAGGATCAGAGGAGGTTAGAGGGAGAAGCAACTCCTAGGTGCTCAATTGAAACTGACTATAGGGACTGAAAGTTAGGTGACTCTATGGGAAAAATAAACATGTGTCTTACAGTCTCCTTGGGCTCTGTGTATATTTGTGGTTGACTTGTAAATTTTTTTTCCCCTCATAATGGGCTGTACCTGCACATTTGTTTTAGTGATTTGGTCCATAACAAAAGGGTTACAAAGGTATGAGGATTTGCTTCTGTTTTCTTTTCTGGAAAGTGCAAGAACGTTAAATTTATAGTTGTTTCCAATTTGAATAATTAGGAAAAGAAGGAACTGGTAGCTGGAAATTCTGAAGAGGAAGCAAAGTGGATTGCAAGGAAGGAGTAATGGTTTCTGAAAGGAAATCATAAGAAAGGAAAAGGAAGATGAGAGAGTAAATCTAAGACTTGAAACCAGTGATGCCTGAGATACGTGAAGCAGAGGCTGACAGAGAGGAACAAGGCTCTTGAAGTCAATGTCCCCAGGAATTTGGATGGGGGGCAGTACAGGAAAAAATTCATTTTGGTGCCCAGCTGGCGTGGTTCAGTGGTTTAGCGTCAACCTTTGAACCAGGAGATCACAGTTTGATTCCCCGTCAGGGCACATACCCGGGTTGCAGGCTCAATCCCAGTAGGGGGTGTGCAGGAGACAGCCATCAACAATTCTTTCTCATCATTAATATGGAATTTCCATCTTTCTCTCCCTCTCCCTTCCTCTCTGAAATCAGTAAAAATATTTTAAAAAATCATTTTGGTATATGTGTCATCTGCACAAAACAACATGCGTTTACATGCCTTTCATTGAAATTGGTGAGAGGAAGCTCCTGGTAAGCAATAAACAATAAATAAAAACTAGCTTTTTAGTAGCCATTATTGTTATCTTAGGTAAGATGCAATTCCCACCATTTTTATTGGGTGGTTCTGTCTTCTGTTTTGCTGGAGTGCACATAAAAATATTTATGGTTTCATCATTCACTCCTCATCTTAGACTCCCTTATCCCACTTTCACCATGTAGTCCTAAATCCATCACCTGCTAATTGCCTTGATATAAGGGATTTCAGGAACCTATTCTCTAAATTTGGAGAGAGATTACTGTATTTGATACTTTGATAAAGTTAAAAATCCACTGAATATGAGGTCTTAGTAAAGGACACACACTTGGGATAAAAATGAGGATTTGTCAGTGAAATAACTTTAATAAATCTTTTTTATTCTCGACTTCAGGTTTCTCCTGTGCAAAAAGGGGGTAGTATTAGATGAAGCCTAAGGCTTCTCTTATTCTTGTTTATGTTATTGACATTCTGAGGTGCTTTTCTCGGGGTAGCAGGTACCCTACATTTGAAGGTGAAGGTCTGTATTTAATTTCTCAGGGGCACCAAGTATTTTGAAGTATTGAGTCTCAGGTGTTAGTCCACTTACTACATTGCCAATTGCTGGATATACTTTAATAAAGTGGTGATTCTGTGTTTATTACCAAGGAATCAAGGGCAATGGTGGGAACCCACATCATTGCCTTCAGAATGCACTGGGAAGGCTGCGCAGCCACCAACATAAAACTCAGTAGTTCCCTCTGTTAGTGAGCAGTTTGGTTATTGATATGTTGGTCCCTTTAATACATTTCACAGCTCAGCCTAGAAACCAGTGTCATACTGAAATGTAGACCTAGATGGCTTGAATGCACTCTGGCCAGTCTGTTCTTGTCGTTTGGGGAAGTCATTACAAAAGTCCTTGTTCCCTTTTTCTGAAAAGGATAAGAAAGCCTTCCTTATCTACTTTTGTGTGTGTGTGTATGTGTGTGTGTGTGTGTGTGTGTGTGTGTGTGTGTGTGTGTGTGTGTGGTTGAAGTTGGAAACGATTAACTGAGGTTGTAATATTCTGAAAATGTTTGGGCAACATTTTATAGGCAGCTAGACTAGAACAGAAAGGTTGGTGAATTTTGGATTCTGTACCAGAAACTTGAATTTTAAGTATCAAAAGACTGATTAGAGAATCTGTGACTAGAGTTAGGGGAAGCAAATCCTGTTTAATAAAATATTAAATATGAATATTGCAGCCCAGGTAAAAGTGAAACTACATTAGCAGAAAATCATTTATATGGCACTTATTTTTTTTATATTAAATAATTTATCTGGACAATATTGTTTAAGGAGGGTGGCCTAGTTCTCTGGACCATTTTAGAAACTGCATCACATAATAATACCTTAAATAATCTACTGTCATTAATATGTGCGCATATATTCTATGCTTATCACATCAAATGATATGAAGTCATGTCATTTGAATTTTTTCCAAGTATATGTATGACAGTGAGAGAAAGCACAGCTGTGACAATAGCTGTTTCCTTAGGTTGCCCACACCATTTTTTAACAGATAAATTATATTTAACAAGTTTTAAAAGTGTCATCAAGGGACACAATTTTCTTTATTTCAGTTATCTAAAATATTTTCATTTTGCAGGAAAGACATGAATCTATTGATATGATGCAATCCTTACTTGTGAACTTTGGGAAATAAACAAATAATTGAATGCTTCCCTTACATTTTAGGACTACATACTCCCTTGCCATTGATGTATTTCCCACTACAGACGTGATGAATTCATGCTGTCAGTTAGCAGTATATTAACTTTAAAAAAAATTAGCTTCATTTTGAGTATTTTTCAAGTGTTCTTTTCTAGTTGTATGAGAAAACCTAAAGACCTAAAACTATTGATTTTAGAGAAAGTCAACCTTTGTGTGAACAAATAAACTTCAAAAAAATGAATGACATAAAATTGATGAAATTTTAATTTGCTTTTGATATTCCAAATATCTTGACTTAAAATTCATTTTATTATTAGATTAACTAATACTTTTTGAGTACAGAAAAGGAAAACTCTTACACTTTTTGCATATAGGGCATAGTAAATTGGAGAAACATTGCTAATACCATTAATAATCTGAAATAAAAATTATAGCAATAATTTCCCCAGTAGAGACTCCTTTAAATAGTGTAGCACTAGAATGTACAGTGTTAAGGAACACCTCAAGTCATTGTAAAATTTATCTATATTCCAGAAACAAAAGACTCCCTAGGCCAGTTTCACTGTGTTGAATATAAACATCAAACTTTCACAAAGTGACCTCTAGCTGTAGCTCAAAATAGTTGGCATTTACTTCCCCATTATCATGTATGATATTAGCAAGCATAACACAACTATTGTTGACTGAAAATAAACTCCTGCATATTTAGAGAAAATAGGAATTATAAAGTTTTACTTTGAGTAGACTTTACAAACTACATTTTGGGCTTCCAATTTTTAATTGTTTTTTTTTTTTTTTTAAAAGGAAAACAAACAGATAATTCAGTATTCCAAAAACAGAGTCTCACATAACCTATGGTCTTTACAACATACTACTAATGGAAAAAAGTAAATTTGTGTAAGAAAGTCTTACGGGATAATAATTGCTATAACTACCTATGAACTTGCTACTTCTTAAAGTATATCTTAATTTATTTTAGTTGAATTCCTCAAGTGAAATGTCTCTAAGTTCTTCTGCAAGCCACTAACAAAAGCATTAGTTGTAAAATGACCACAGTCCCGTTGTTGTAAAATTAAAAATAAGTGGGGCACTGACACACAGGATACTTTCAAATCACACAAAAATGCACAAAGATAAAAAGCCAGTTATGTCAACTGTTTGATTTTTTTAAAATTAAAAAAGCTAAAAATAAATATAGGTTTGAATTAGAAACATACACATCCAGAAAAGTCACAACTAAGGAAAACTCAAACACTTAAAAAAATTTACAAACTGTATATTTCAAGTATGTGGGATATATACATCATTAGGTACAAGTTTAAATAACAATATTATTTACAATGAAAACTATAATGAAATATACCAGTGAAATATACCAGTGAACAATTGAAGAAGGCTAAAACTTAAATTGCTCATTTAGCTAAATTGTTCTTAACATAAAAGAAATAACCATCTTTTTAAAAATTCCTATCTGTTGAATGTAAACAAGGAACAAACCTTGACTTCTAAAACTGATAAATAGGAAGAATGAAAAAGAGAACATCTTATGAAAATAATGATGACAAACAGTGGGAATTTTGGTGAAAGATTCTTTTAAACTCTAAGGATAAAGAAACTGAGGAAAAATATTCAGGTACAGAAAAAAAATTTAATAGGAATAGCCACTGGGCAAAAAGAAAGGTTCAAGGCCTTTTGGAAAAATAATACTATTTAAAACATACTTCTCCAAACTGCGTATAAAGTATTTTTGTCAGTTTGGACCTTATCTTTTTCCATATTTCATAAGATAGGTAATTTAAAATGAAGTAAAGTTAATGGTTTGACACATTATCTAGAAGAAGAACAGCAAAAAAAATTATCATAAATTGTTTTTGAGTTTCACTATAAGCAGTCACAAATTCATGGCCTATAAGAGTATTTGCCAAAATGAAATATATATGTAAACTCTCTAAAAGAAAAAGAAATTCATTAGGTTTTTAGAATGTCTTAACTTTCTTAATGAGTGCTAGTGACAATAAGTATTGTTCTAAGAAACAATAACCATCTATTGATTGAACCTTATTTCTATTATACGTTCCTGATTCCTTGTAGAAACAAAGTGTGTTATTGTTTAAAAGGTTCTGAGCTGTTCTTCAATTATCTAAATAAATCTACAGCCTAAAACAAATATTTACCTCAAACCCACAATTTAAAAAAACCACACACAGCTAAAACACAAATCATGCAGTGGCTTACCTAAGAGAAGGAGGTATATTTTGCACTGAAAGACCCCAACGGTACTGCTGAAGGGCTCCATGAAAGCATCCTGCCCCATGTATACGGTGCCCTGTTCCTAGTGGCCACTTGGTTCATGGACCAGCAGCTGCTGGTTTATTTGCTAGGGAAATCAGCAGTGAGGTAACAGACCCTATCCTGCCTCTTGCTTCTGTGATTTGAATACAGAATGAATGTGTATACAAAGGACACAGGGAGTGGGAACACCTGTTATATGTTCTGCAAGAATACTGGCTTATGACTTTCAGAACAGCTTCTTAGCAATTATCAGTAATTGTCGATATATTTGATAAATTATCCTTAGTTATTGATAATCACATGAAGGAAAACACCCTTTTTGGTGACTTTATTGAAAAACAGTATGCTTTCATAATGAGAGCATGTTGTGAAATAGCCTGAAAAACAAAAAGCTGCTTTCCTATCATGCAAAACTATGCTATTATTTTGAAATTAAAAATTTTCTATGAAAATTGAAATATTTCATAGACCTGCTAAACAGTCACAAATCATCATGAAGTCACTAAATAACATGTAGAAGTTATACCAAAGAATCAAAATGGGGCACCTGAAATGTCTTTAGAAATGTATTTTTCCATGTAGTATTTCCTATTACACATTTCTGCTATGATTTTGTTGAACCTATGAATTCATGTTATTTTTAAAACAAACCACAGGTGTGTTTCCAAGTAACACTGGATTATGGGCTGGTATCGTTATAATGAGAAAAAAAAAGCCTATGCCAACAGATAATATCTGAGGCCACATTTTCACCGCAGAAGCAGAGAGGAAGTGAAACAATGGTCCGGAGGTCTGACCACCGCTGTGGTGTCTGGGCCCCAGCTTTTCAGCCTGGCCTCGTCACTGCCATGGCAGCAGGCAGTCTGAACATTTCCGCTTAATTTACTAAGTTATAAGTTAACCCTCATTTCATTTCATTCCTTGCAAGAAAGCTCTAGTCCAAGCCTTCCACTATATAAAATAAAAAGTATATAACCAAATGTACATCAAATGGAGCAAATTCCTTGCATAAATTATTTTCCACAATACATTTGTGAACAATAAAAGCGCGCTGAAGATGTTTAGCGATAATAATAGGAAAGGAAGAATATTCCTCAAGCATAATTAAAGGTTAAAATAAATGAGAGTTATTTTGGAATTCAAGTTTGGAAACACTTTTTGCATTAAGGCTCCCAACTCTTCCAGAAGTGCTCCTATAGGCAAAGAAAGGGAGTGCCTGTTGGAAACCAGAAGCCTCTTTGGAGGTCACTTTGTGATCTCTCCATGCTTCGGAAAAATGACAAGAGCTCCCCCCCACTCCAGGTAACTACTATACCACAACTTTCTCTGTGCTTGTACATGGCTATTGCAGCACTTATCTCCTTAACCTCAATTAATTTTATGGCATGTTTATTTTCCCTCTAATACAGATCAGTCTTATTTAGTTATGAATACTTAGCACCTAGCATAGTGCTTAACTAGTATTTTTGTTAAGTTGTTCCAAATGCTCTTTAGCCCATGTCTTCTGATTCTCAGTTCATGCTTAAGAAACGTATATAAATTTTAATATTGGATTGAATAAAATACAAAATGGAAGTTATATAGATTTCATATGGACTATACCTCATATCTTTTAAATCAATATTAATCTGCAATTGCCTTTGTTAAATAAGCTCTTTGCAGTTTCAGGATGAAATTCTTCGGTCCTACAAAAATGAGAAAAATAAAGACAATGTAGTGAGTTTTTCCTAATGTTAAATTTACTTGATTTAAAGGATTAATATTTACTGTTTTTGTTTGTTTGTTTCTTTTGGGTTATATTTAAAAATATCCGTTCTTTTCTGACATAGAGGGTAACAGAGGCGATGTAAATAAATTATAAATAATATTACCAATAAATAATTGTCAAATAAATGCCAAAATTAATCATAGTTGTGATCTTCCACATTATAGCAAATATTAAAAAATAACAATACCTGTATGACACAACTCATAAAGTGCTGCCTGGTGTAACTATGACAGAGCGCCCTCTAGCAGCAGGAGTAATTTCTGAATTCAGGATGTTTACACAGGAAGCCTTACAGGTAATGTTAACATATAACTTCAACTGTTGTAAATTCCTATATGATTGTTAAAAATGGGTTAAAGTGTTTTATAAGAAATGTCCCACCACCAATATCTCACATTTCACTTGTAACCCACTGGGGAGCGCTGCTCTACCATTCTATTCAGGAGCCTGTTTATTGATCTTAGTTATATGTGCATTTACAATGAAAAAACTGATGAATCTAAAACAATCAGTATTCATGATGATTAAATTTCAAGCAATGCAAGAAGTCACTGGTGTGTGTGTGTGTGTGTGTGTGTAAGAGAGAGAGAAAAAGGCTGGGGGAGAGATGGTGTTTAATGGGAAGATTTTAATCAATTGTAAGTCTGGTTTTGCTTTATAAAGCAAACAGTCTGCTACATTCATTCCAAACAGCCGCATTCTTTATTTACTAGTAGCATATGAGTATTTTGCAATGGGAACAACTGGGAGGGAGAGGTAGTGAAATGACCAGGTTAATGTAGAACAGTGGGGACTAGGAAGAACTGGGAAAAAGGAAGCACTGTCTTATGTTATAGCTAGATCCTAGGAAAGATTACAGTTTACAGGAAGAACTGGCTGCTAGAGGAGGCCATCACACCTGCCCATGCCTGTGCTGGTGCTCACTTCTCTATAGTTACTAGTATGTCTACAATGCTGCCTCCCAGAATCCTAGGTATACTGATAACTCTGCAGCAATGTCTTCCTTCCAGGGTCCCTCTCCAGGTCGCTGTTTTATCTTCAGCAAGGTTTCTGTTTTCTGCTCCTGCTTGCTTAGGGAGTGCAGTTACACCATCTTGGAGATGTCACATCTTTCCACTGCTTTGATGTTTAGAGGATGATTAGAAATGTATCTTCATATATATATATATATATATATATATATATATATATATATATATATATATAAAATCTTACTGATTTTTTACAGAGAGGAAGGGAGAGGGATAGAGAGCTAGAAACATCGATCAGCTGCCTCCTGCACACCCCCTCCTGGGGATGTGCCCACAATCAAGGTACATGCCCTTGACTGGAATCAAACCTGAGACCCTTGAGTCCTCAGGCTGACACTCTATCCACTGAGCCAAACCGGTTAGGGCTAGAAACGTATCTTCTTAATCAAACCAAGATCTCAGCTTTAATTTAAGCTTCTAGAGCAGCGGCTCTCAACCTGTGGGTCACGACCCCTTCACAGGGGTCGCCTAAGGCCATCGGAAAACACATATATAATTACATATTGTTTTTGTGATTAATCACTATGCTTTAATTATGTTCAATTTGTAACAATGAAATTGGGAGTCACCACAACATGAGGAACTGTATTAAAGGGTCGCAGCATTAGGAAGGTTGAGAGCCACTGTTCTAGAGACTCCTCCCATTTGGACCATCATAAATATATCCTTATCCTATTTTACTGCTAATGCTATTGTCCCAAGTCAGATCCAATTAGCTCTTAGGCCTGATGTTCCAATCTGTAAAAACGGGGTGAGCATTTCTTTATAAAATGACTATCATCCAGCAAGCTTTCCTTGAGACTTGTTGGCAGGCCAGCCATACTTCCCACTACTATGCTCTAGCTTACCACTAACAGCCTTTAGGCAAGTGTGCGAGTTCTAAATAAGTCATACATATATTTGAAAAGTGGAAATGAAATAACATGCTTCACCTTTTAAAAAATGCTCTTTAAGGCTGTAGGTTTGTTATTGTTGTGTTTTTTTCCCCCCTTAAAATGCATTATGTATAGCTTAATTATTTTCTATAGTGTTAGGGTATGTCGAATTAGAAAATATAATTTAGATAGCAGCACTGATTTACTTTACATTTTTTTCAATATTACAGTCACAGCCTTTGAACTTTCAGAAGCCTAAGTTATTCACTTCTTTTTAATTTATAAGAAATGAAATGTGCAGTATTAGAGTAAAACAAGGTCTTAAAAGCTTTCTTGCCTTTTCAGGATCAGATACAGAAAATACTCATTTCCCCAAATTTGGCTTATGGGGGAGAAAAAAACCCACACTGAATTAAAAAACTTTTTTTTTTTATTTGGATCTGGGTGTGGATTTGCATTCTAGTCCTGGATCAATCTCTAATAAAATGTGTGCCCTCAACAGCTCATGTGGATAAATTTTCCCATCTCATAAAGAATGGATTTGAAAGATGAGAGCTGGCTGCCTATCACTGACTTTTTAAAACACAGAATCCAAAAGAGATCAATAACAAGAACAACAGCACACTTCTCAGGTGAATATAAACATTCAGGCTTGAAAAGTATTGGATTTGGATCACCCCTAACGTATTCTTTTTCAACAAAATCATAATCTCCTTGAGAACACAACTGTATCTTATTAAAATGCGTTGTATCCTTCTGCCTGGTTCCCAACAATCAACAAATGTTTATGAACTGAGTTTTAGTTTATATGCTAATATGATGAGCAATTTCTGTTTCTTTTTATGCTTTCAGGAACTTCTAAATCTTAGAGTTTCACACACTGAGAACTGTCTGGCAATTAAGATTAGAGCAGGTAAAAAAAAACAAAGAAACTAGCACTACCCTAAAGTGACTGGAAATTTTTTTTATATGGATTAGCAATAACAGTCAGAGAGGATATAGGTAAACAAAACATTTCAAAAGGAATTTTTCAGCACAGGGTAATTCTGTTGGAGCAGAGAACCAGGCAGAATTATGACTCTAATATCTCATACTTGTAAGGTGCTTTACAATTTATAAATTGCATTTACTTGCCTTGTCTTTATCCTTACAAAACCCTAGATCAAGTAATTACTTCATTAGTAAAAACTAATCCGACAAGACTCTGAGAGGTCAAATAATACATTTTCAGAGTTGATTATATTAGTGTTCCCAACCGTTAGTCATTTCCAAACTACTTTTATTATTTCTGCCATAACTGATTACCACTTCATACTGTTGTTTACCTAATATTTTTCATTTGTGTGTCACACTTTAATGTTTTTTTAGTTGTCTTAAGAAATAGTTTTTACTCCTGCCCCTCCCCCTCCTTGTC